CTCACACCAGGAGGCCGTCGGTGCGCTCCCGCGGCCCCTCGGCGCAGTCGGCGGGCTCCGCGCTCTTGACCTTGACGTAGACCGGGGAGGGGCCCGCTTCGCAGGCGGCGGCGGCGGCGGCGCAGGGCGCCAGGGCCACGTCCTCGGGGCCGCCGCAGGGCGGGGGCGCGTACTTGCGGCGCAGGGAGCGGCTGACGGTCTGCGTCGGGTACCCCAGCAGGTGGGTGACGCTGCGGCCGCGCCCGCCGGCCTTGCACCCGGGCGCCTCGGCGTCCTCTCTGTGGAAACAACAGGCGGGCGGGTGAGCGGGCTCCTCCGGGCGCGGCGTGGGCACGGCCTGGCCGGAGCGGGGGCCGCCGGCAGCCTCTCGGCCCCGCGCCGCCCTCCACCGGCGCCTCGCCTCTCCCTCGGCCTCCGCCTGCTCTCCTCTGCCTCCTCCTGGCCGGCGACCCCACGCCGCACACGGGGCCGGTCCGCGAGCGTCCGCCAGCCCCCGGCGGGCAGCCCCACGGGCGCCCCCCGGCCCCTTCCGACGTGCGCACCCGTCCCCGAGACGGGGAGGGAGGCTCGGAGGCCCGGGAGGAGCCGCCTTCCCTGTCCTTCGCTTTCCTTAGCTAACACCAGCCTCGCCCTCGCCTTCTCCTCTCCTCACCTCTGCCCCTCGACCTCCTTCTCCACCTTTGCCTCCTTCCCCGGGGCTTTGCAGTCATTAGCACTCCTAGGCTTGTTCTGTTTTTATTTCTAGTCGGTTTCTAATGTACCTTATTAGCACTATCCTTACTATTGACTCTTCTTAAATAAGCATGTCCAGAGTTGTCACCGGCGTGAAACAGGGCAAACACGGGGGGGGGGGGGGAAAAAAAATACGGTCCCTGCCCTCCAGGAGCTTACAGTCTAGACAAGATGCACAGAGAGGTGCATAGACAGGAGGGAAACGGAGGGCAGGGGAGCAGAGGTGAAGACTGGCGCGGGACGGGGAGAGAGGAGCCACGGCGGGTGGCAGGTCGACATGCTGCGGTCCCCGGCACTCCTGGCGATGGCCGGCAGGGTGGGGGTGGGGGTCCCGGCCGGCCCGGTGGCAGGCAGGGGTGAGGAGGGGCAGGGCGCCGGTCCCCTGCCGCTCGGCAGCATGCAGCATGCATCAGGTTTTACCTGATCTCACTAGCCAAGTCGCCGCAGGCCCCTCCGCCGACCCCGCCGCCGCCGTTGCTGTAGCCGAAGGCACCGCGGGAGCCGCCGGCCCCGGCGCCCCCGCAGCAGCAGCAGACGAGCCCCCAGATGCCCACCAGCAGACAGCCCAGCATGAGCAGGGAGCCCAGCACTGCGCCTATGATCATGCCTATGCGCCGGGAGTCTGTGGAGACAAGTAAAGACAGTCAGGCTTCCTGCAGCCCGGCAGGTGCCTCCTAACCAGGAAGTGTGGGGCCGGCCCTCTGTGGGGAAGAGAGCGAGGGTCCCAGCGGGTGTCGGGTGTCGGGGCCCCGGGACACCCAGTGAGGAAGGATGAGGAGATGCCTGTGTCCCCCGCGGCTTCCCGGCCCTGATGGAAATGGGAAGGCAGAGCAGACAGCCCAGGCTCCTCCAATCCCGCCCTCCCCGCCCCAGGGCCCCCAGGGCCGCTGCCCCTGCACCCACCTGAGACCTTCACCTCCACCACGCACACACTGTAGCCCACGTGGTTGGCCACCGTGCACTGATAGAGCCCGTCATCCTCCCGGGAGATGTCCTTCAGCACCAGGTCACCGTTGTTCAGGCCTGAAACTGAAAAAGCACCACAGGGCTGTGGCGAGGCCCCGGGGGCCACCCCAGCCTAGACCACTGCCGGTGGGGAGGGAAGGAGAGAAGGCGGATGCACCCGCGCGCGCCCGCACACACGCGCGCGCGCACACACACACACACACACACACACACACACCGGCCTGGCTCTGTCTGTGTGTCCCCCCCCCAAGGTCCCGCTGTTCGCTCAGACCCACCTTGGTTCAGGGAGCTGTGGAAGGACTCCTGGTAGGAGAGCTCCGAGTGGAAGCTGTGCTGCGAGTGGTAGGAACCGGCGCGGTAGGGGTGGGTGTGCCCGCTGATCTTGGCCCACTTGTAGGAGAGGGGCGGGGTGCCTCCGTTGGCAAAGCACTTGAGCACCACGTCGTTGCCGTGGGTCATGTGGCCCTCAGACCAGCACAGGGGCACCGCGGGCCGCGCTGTGGGGAACCGGGCAGGTGTGAGCCGGGGCCCGGCCCAGGGGCTCTGGAGCCTGGGGGGGGGGGGGGGAGTAGGGGGCGCCCGGAGGAGTCCGGCCATACCTTGGACAGTGACGATGACCTTCCGGCTGGCCATGGTGGTCTTCTTCACCCGACACTCGTAGGTGGCCGTGTCAGACACCTGCAGGTTCATGAGGTTGATGGAGGCATCATACTGGCTGGGGTCTGAGGCTGCAAAGCGGACCCTCTGCTGCAGGTGGGGAAGGTTGCCATGATTGATCCTCTTGTCCTGGTAACTAAGGAACTGGGAAGAAAGAGAGGAAACGGAAGTGGTGAGCCAGGCACGGCCCAGGAGGGCCACGTGGCTCGGTGGCCTCGGGCATTTCACCAAACTTCTCCCCGACTCCGCTTTCTCTGCTGAAAGATGCTGACGATGATACCTGACCCATTAACCTCCCAGTGAATGTGCGAGAGCAGAGGAGATCAGGCGCTTTCCAAAGCGTGGAAAAGTGTCGGGTCAGGCTGGGACCGTCCTGAGGCCTCCCCTGCCCTCCGGAGCAGGTGGGAGAAAGCCAACTAATGGTGATTTGTGATTACAGAGCCCGCGGGCCTGTCGCCTCATCCCTGGAGAGGCCACTGGGGACGTTCAAGGTCTTCATTTCCTCCTCTGCCCTCCTTTTGCCCTCAGGCTGGCCTACAGGTGGGGCAAGGGGAACCCTAAGCCCAGCACTCACCACATTCTCCCGGTGTGAGGGGTCTGAATTGACCTGCATCCACTCGATGTCCAGCCCATTGGGACCATAGTCCTCAGGGTCCAGGATGTAGGGGCAGCCCAGCCTCACATTATCACCTTCTGCCAGGTACAGGATCTCCTGGCCATCCCCGTTGATCCGCACGGCAGACAGCAGTGCTAAGGGAGGGGCAGGGCAGGTGGGGGGAGGGGGGAGAGAAGACCAGGGGGCGGGGGCAGTCAGCTTCTGCCCCTCTCTCCGCCATCCTGCATGGAACTGCCTGGGGAGGAGTGGCTGCTGTGTGCGTGTGCGTGTGTGTGTGTGTGTGTGTGTGTGTAAGCACGCGAAGCGACCAGAGTTGAACGCTCCGATGGAAAATCCTGGCTCATTAAAAGATGCCTTTTTCTGGGCCAAGAGAGTGTTCCCGCGTGGAGACCGGAGGGTGGATGCCATGGCCGCTGGGGTCCCTTTCCAGCCCAAGGAGTCGAAGACTTGACATGATTGCAGGTGTCTCTGCGTATGACACCTGCGTGTCTGTGGCTGTACCCTTGGGTGTGACCACGTGTGACTGGCTGTGTCAGGGCGCTGAGTGATCGCTCGTGCCTGTGCGCGATGGCAGGCAGCTGGGACCGGGAGCCTGGCTGCGTGGGTCTGGCGCTGCTCGTGGCCTGGGCCTGGGAATATGGCCACATGCATCCGTAGGACAGTCTGAGCCTTGTGTGATGACACATGGCATTGTGGATTTTGTGTCCGTCCCCCTGTGCCATCGAATGGCTCAGGCACAGCCGCCCACACATGCTGGCTCCAGTTGGGGCCCCTCCCACTGCTCACAGCCCTGGTTCCACTGAGTCAGCCCCGCTGAGAAGCCAAGATCTGGAAGCTCAGGACCCAGCTCCTTGCCCTCCCTCCCCTGGAGCCCCAGGCAAGGACTAGCCCCAACCGGTTGGACCCAGAGAGGAATACGGAGTGTGGGGAGTGGGGGGGGGGGGGGGGCCCCCCCGAACCTTGGCAGGCAGGACAGGCAGGCTCCACCCCCCAGGCTCCTGCAGCCCTCCCTGCCCAGGCCCCTGGCCCGGCCTGGCTCACGCTCCGGCCCACCAGACAGCCAGCAAATCCCCGGAGTCCCAGCCCTGGTCTCGGCAACTCCCGCTCTGCCCTTCTCCGGATCTCTCGGGGCCCGCGTCTCTGTTAGAGTGTCTCACACACCTCCGGTTTCACACGGTCACCGCCCCACATCGCCACACTTAACAGACCTTCAAAACGCAGACACATCTCTATGCAGGTCCCACTTTGCTACCCACACAGGCACCCGTCAGATCCAGACAGACACGCGTCTGCACGCACAGTGCGCGTTCATCTGGAAGGCATGCATCCCTGCCCACGGCGCCCTCCCCGTGCGCATCCGCTCAACACTACACGTCCCTGCAGAAGCTTGGTTCGCTTCCAGAGGGCCAGCAGGGGCCTTTTTAACACCCCCAGACACCTCAGGCATCCCCCGCCCCCCGCCCCGCCCCCAACCCTGGCAGGGACAGCAGCCCTAACCCCACAGGCTCCAGGGTGACCCAGAGCAGGCGGGCGGCCACGGGCACTAGCGGATCGTGAGGACACCTCCTCCAGCCCCGGGCCAAGGGAGATGTGATCAGCTCTCCCAAGATAAGGATCCTGGCACTGACTGCCAGCTCCTGGGGCGCCAGGAGGCACACCAGCGATGAGCCAGAGCCCAGAGAGCAGAGGCTCCACCCTGGGAAGGGCTGCCGGGAGGGCTGTCCCCATACCCAGGGGGCTGGCCCAGCAGCCCAGCAGGAGGGTAGATCTGTAGGGGAGGGGGCTGGGGAAGGAGGGGACAGGCTGAATGAGAGCGCCTCCACCCTGCACTAGGCAGTGTCTTCCCCTGTCCCGGGCCAGGGAGCCTCACCCTAGCCTTTCCGTCTCTCCAGAAGCCTCTCGACCTCCGCCCTGTCCGCGGGGCTCCAGCCTTTCCACACCCCTCACTCCTCGCTGTCTCACCTTGGTCCCTCCTGCTCCTGTACTGAGGAAGTCTTGCAGGGAGCATGAGACAAGAGAGGGAAGAGAGCCAAGGAGAGAGAGCTGGACAGGAGTCCCTGGAGAGAAGGAGGGAGGAAGGGGGCCAAGGCGACGCAGTGGGCCCCCTCCCCTCCCCCCGCCAAAGCACCAGGGACTGTGCGCCCCCTGTGGGCGTCCTTGGTGCGTTTCCCAGCTGCCTGCACAGCTCCTAACCCTCCCTCTGGAGGTGACAGAGCAGAGAGAGGGTGTTGGAGCATAGACACACAGAGCGCCGGTCTGTCCTGCCACGCCCACGCCCCACACCACACACATGGACGTGTCCCGGGTCCCCAGACCACAGCTGGAGCTTCGTGAGGGGACCCTGCTGTCACCCTGCCAGTAATGCAGTCTCTCTCTCTCTCCCTCTGTCTCTCTCTCTCTCTCTCTCTCACACACATACACACACACACACACGTGTGCACGAAGGCTGAAAATGCTCCCCAAGTTCCTCCCACAAACCCGCTCCTGCGAACCCAGACCCCAGGAGGGTCTCAGCCATTTCCAGCGATGCCCACACACAGGGGCTCCTGCTGGGACTTGCCCCAACAGGGGCAGGGGGCCACAGCATCAACCTCTGAGCCCTGCTCTCGAGGTGTGCCCCCTCGGGGTGAGGGGGCTCTGGGAGGCGCCATCCCCACCACCCATCTCATCCTGGGGGGTGGCGCTACCCTGGAGCTCTCAGAGCACAGTCCGTCTCCTAGGGGGCGCCGTCTCCTCTCAAAGCAACTCCCTGCCCTTGGCTCTAGCCTGGGGGTGGGAGTGGGTCCTCCCCGGGGGAACAGCACACAGAGAGGAAAAGGGGCCTTTCCGGGGAGAGCCTCCCCGGCGACGCCAGCCTCGCCGTGCGCCTGACACCCTGCCTCACCCCCAGATCCCCAGGCAAGCTCTCCAGGCAAGCCCTGCTCTCCGTGCACAGCGTGTGCGTGCACGTCCGAGCCCCACACGGCTCACAGGCACCGCGAAGATCCATCAAGGCCTGTGCCCCAGACCCTCGGGCACGGGGCCGTCTTGGCCATATCCCCAGCCAGCTGGCAGCAGGGCCTCGGACCACCTCGGAGGCGCCTCTGCGGGCCCGTTGTGGTCCCTTTCCCTGCCCTCCTGGCATCGCGTGGGTGTCCCTGCCGGATGCCCAGCCCCATACCTGGGCTCAGGCACACGAGCAGAAGGTGGAACGCTCCTCGGACTGCCATGTCTCTAGGCTTGGTGTTTCCTCCGCTTGGGCTGGGTGTCCCTGGGGCCAGCGGTGGTGGGTGTGTGGGGACAGGTGGAGGGAGGGGGAGCGGAGGGCCCAGACACTGCCCGGGGTGGCAGGAAGGTGCAGTGAGTGCCGGGGCCACAGCCGGAGTTATTTCTATAGGAGGGAGGGGGCCCGGTCCCCGCCTTGGGGAGGAGCCCCGGGAGCCTTAATTATCGGGGTGACAGAGCGGCCTACCCAGGTATTACCCAGCCCTCACCCAAGCTCTTCCCTCTCCCGAGAGTGGCAAAGGGAGGCCGGCGGGACTTGTAATTAGGCACCTGTTAAGCTTCCACTTCCTCCTGGCCCCATGCTCGGGGTAACAACAGTCGCCTGGTTCTACAGCGTCCACAGAGCTCCCCTCACCACTCATTTGCTGCCTCCTTCCCCCGGGGAGACGGGGAAGCGGAAGGAGAGCCAGGCCTGGGAGGAAAGGTGGCCAGGCTGGGAAGGGTTAACCCGGGCCCAGGGACACAGGGGTCTGACCCAGCCTTTCCTGCAAGCTCATCTGTGACCCTGGGGGAACCCCCCCCCCTCCCGCCCCTGGTTGAGGTCTGTGGGAAGGGGCAGCAGGAAAGGGGACTCGGGCTGGAAGGAAGGCCCAGGCAGATGAAAGAGCCCCGGGAACGTCCAGCCCGCCTTCCCCTGAGGCCTCTGGCCCCTCAAAGGGAGTCGGGTCTCCCCAGGGCTGAAAGAGGGAGGCGTGCATGGGCACAGGGGCTTCCCCTGGCTGCCCCTAGGGAGCTGTGGCGCCCACCCCTACCTGAGGTGAGGCCAGCCCCGAGCGCAGGGGGTTCCTGGGCGCGGGGGTGTTGGGGGCCACCGGAAAGACCAGGAAGGGGGCGTGCGCGCATCACGTCTCTGCTCGTGCACACATTTCAGGGGTCACTTGGTGCCCTTGCTTCCAGGCACAGGAGGGGAGACTAGGCCCCTCGAGACCTGGACTGCTCACTGGGGTGACCTGGGCAGGTTGGAGCTGGGTGGGTAGGGGAGGAGGCAGAGCGAGAAGGCAGAGGACCAGCCCCCGGCTCTTTGGCCTAGGGGCTCCCAGGACCGCCCACCCGCGATGGTGGGGGTCAGGTCCTACGTGGTCCCATTCAGCAGCTCAGCTCCCTCGGAGGGGCCGTCGCTGACAGGGGCCACAGGGAGGGCAGGGGTGAAGAGCCTTGGGGAGAGTTACGGGCCAAGGCCAGCTCAACGAGGAAGCACGAGGAGTCCACGCGCCTCTGTGCTCCAAATCCCTCCGCCCCCCCCCCTCAGCAATGACAGGGTGCTCTAGGGCCCGCCAGAGGTACCAACGAATATCTGTATTTCCTTGTTTATTTTGAGGTTTATGAGATTGCCCTGCACCCTCGGGAGAGCAAGGATCATTATCCCCCCTTTACAGATGGGCGGTGGGGGGGATTCAGCCCACCTGCTGCTGCTGAGCCTGGCAAAGGGCGGGGGGCGCCTAGGCATCCTGACCCTCAACCCAGAGCGGCCCAAGGAAAGGGCTCGGTGGTCATGTGGGTTAGTAGATGTACCCACGGGGTAGAAGCTTGGAAGGCCAGTGATGGCCATCGGGAGGGGGGGCGGAGAACCGGGGGGACCAGGAAGAAGCGAGACTGCACGGCAAAGAGGAAAGCTGTGTCTCCATCAGGGTCAAGTGTAGGGCTGGTGGATTGGGTCCTGGCTGTCGGTTCATATCAGAGCCAGGGCGAAGGCTGGGTCGGGCGGTTGGGATCAGCAATGAGCTCGAGGTCACGCTTGAGGAACTAGGGCTAGATTAGGCTAGAGTGACGAGAGCTGAGGCTAGGGTGTGCGGCTGGGGTCCGTGTTAGGATAAGGCGCGAGCGAGGGGTTCATTCACAGCCACGTGTGGTAATGCGGCTACAGCCAAACTGGAGGCTGGGCCGAGGCCGACTTAGGGTTGGGGTTCCAGTAGGTTGAGGCTGGGGTTTGTGGTTTCTGCGTTCGGGATTTGAGCTAGGGTGGACTGTGGTTAGGTTCGGGACGTGCGTTAAGCGGGCCGCACGATTCATGGGGATCAGAAATGAAGTTTGACTTGAGACACGGGAAGACTTTTGTCCCCATCTGCTAAAGGGCAGACTGGCCAGCCTATCTATCCCTTGAGTCTGGGACAACACCAGCAGCGTCGTACCAACACGGATCAGTGTGTGAATTGAGGGTTTGGGAGGGGGTTCCAAATAGGCGTGAGCCCACCAGAAGCAACCTAGCCCCCTAACAAAGGATCCCCCCCCCCGAGTCCTGCTCCACAGCCTAAGCCCACCAGCAGTCAAGCTCCCCGAGTGACAGCTGGGGAGCTGGTGCAGGAAGCTATCAGCAGGGAGTGGGGCTTGGGCTCCAAAGTGATCTGGAAGACAGGGCCCACCAGGGGCACTTTTACTGGGTCGGAGTGGGGGGTCCCAGGGGACGCGTGCTGGGGGAAACTGAGGACCTAGATACTCCTAGAAGAACAGCCACTTTTGAGGGCTCCACACCGGGGGCCCTCAGAGCCTCAAAAGGCAAGTCACGTTGTTCTCCTTTGACCCACTAAGGGCTAATTGCCACCTCCTTGCAGTTTGGGGCCCATAAATGAAGCCGACAGCCTTCCTGCCTTGTGCCCTGAGCCCTGCAGGGTTTGGAGGCTGGTGACGAATGAGTGCACTGAGTGTCGGCTTGGTTTTCACAGCAGAGGCCCAGCCCCCTGGCTCTGAGACCAGCCCCCAGCCCGTGTCCCTCTCTGGGCTCATCCTCAACAGAGGAAGAGAGGCCACTCCCGGGAGCCCCCCACCCCCACCCCAACTCCTCCTCTCCCTTTCCCTCACCCAGTCTCCACCCCAAACATCCCATTTTCCCACCCACTTCCTTTTCAGGTCTCAGAGAGGCCTGGACAGATCCAGGGGACTGTTGGGGTCTGTCTGTGCCCCAGGGAGAGAGAAGACAGTTGTGAGAGTCCGTGCTCAGCAAAGGGGCACAGAAACACATGTGGCATCCGAATGGCCCATCAGAGGCTCCCAGGGGGAGAGAGGAGGCAGAGGGCCCAGGCTGCCATCTGTGGTCCAGAGTACCCTAGACGGCCCCCCTTGCTTTTCCCTAAGAAATCCACAGTTCATTCAGCACAGGAGACAGGGCCTCCTTTGCGCACGCCCGCCAGTTGGGGCTGTATTTGCTTTTTTTTTTTTTTTTTTTATTTCTTTGTTCCATCTTTTTTAATGTTTATTTATTTTCGAGAGAGAAAGAGAGACAGAGCGTGAGCAGGGGAGGGGCAGAGAGAGGAGGAGACACAGAATCCGAAGCGGGCTCCAGGCTCCGAGCTGTCAGCACAGAGCTCAACGCGGGGCTCGAACTCACAAACTGTGAGATGGTGACCTGAGCCAGAGTCGGACGCTTAACCGACTGAGCCACCCAGGTGCTCCTGCTTCTCTTTTTTTCAATGTTTATTTATTTTGAGAGAGAGAGAGACAGTGAGCATGAGTGGGGGAGGGGAAGCGAGAGAGGGAGAGAGAGAATCCCAAGCAGGCTCTGCACCATCAGCACAGAGTCGGACGCGGGGCTTGATCCCACGAACCGTGAGATCAGGACCTGAGCCAAAACCAAGAGTCAGATGCTTAACCAACTGAGCCCCCCAGGCGCCCTGATTATATTTGCTTCTGTCCTAAGACAGAAGCAGAATCCCAAGACACAGGCTTAGAAAGGAGTGAACAGAGACACAGAGGAGGGAAGAGGCAGATCCAGGACCCAGAGAGGCCCAGAGGCTGCTTCTGAGATGAGGCGCAGCCCAGCCCCACAATGTCTTGGGGAAGGACAGGCAGAGGCCCCGGCCGGCCTCCCCTTCCTCCAAAGCCTTGCACTGTAATTCCACACAACCGCTGCGGGCCCTGACCTCCTGCCCTGCCCCCAGGTCCCCAGGCTCAAGCTGGAGCTCCCATCTCCCCAGGTCTGCAACCTGCCCCCTGCTAAACTACACACACACACACACACACACACACACACGCACAATCAGCAGGCCCTTACCCCTCTCCCAGGCCCCCGTGTAGACCCAGGCTCACCCCTACAACACCCAGGGAGTGGACAGCAGACCCCAGGAGTGAGCGTGCCAAGAAAACCCCCAGAGGAGAGGGTCTGGACGACCATGGACGGACATCACCACACGAGTCTGAGAGAGGGCAGACAGGTGCACACAGGGTGGTCACACAGAGGCAGGAAGCCCCTGCGGCTGATCCCTTTTGAGAGCTCTCAGCAAGGGCTCGCGGTGGGAAGGCAGCCGGACCAGGCCACGGTGGGACCAGAAGAGTGGGGGGACGGGGTGGGGAGGCCCAGGTGACATGGGGAGACACTGCCGAGCTCAGACAAGGAACGGTTGGTCGGTGACAGAGAGAAGGCTGAGATCCATGGGTGGGCTCAGTTTTGGGAACTGGGCCAGGGCTCGGGGACCGAGGTCAGTGCTGCAGGGTCAGGGGTGGTGGGCAAGAGCTCCTGACCCCTGCGCCTCCCCGAGCCCCAGCTCAGGCCTCCCGAGGCTCCACGATTCCTGCTGGTCCGCCCAGGAGAAGGGGGGCCCCTGGGGGGGGCCAGATGTACCCAAATCCCTCCCATCAAGCGATGGCCCAGACTCACGGGAGCAAGCAGCACAGAGGGGTCCCCAGCCTCTAGCGGAGTGGCCTGCCCACTACCGTGTCAGCACGGCAAGGCAGGGGGTAGGAGTGGGGGGTCGAAGGTTGGGACCGGACCTGCTGTCAACGGAACCACCTGGATAGAGTATTTGAATTCCCGATGACAAACCGAAGAATTAAGAGACTCTGATAATAAGATGGGGCGCCTGGGTGGCTCCGTCGGTTGAGCGTCCGACTTCGGCTCAGGTCATGATCTCACGGTCTGTGAGTTCGAGCCCCGCGTCGGGCTCTGTGCTGACAGTTCGGAGCCTGGATCCTGCTGCGGATTCAGTGTCTCCCCCTCTCTCTGCCCCTCCCCCGCTCACGCTCTGTCCCTCTCTGTCTCTCGAAAATAAATAAAATGTTTAAAAAAAATTTTTTTTAAAGAGACTCTGACGGTAAGAACTATGTCCACCTCAAGGAGGTCAACCGTATGCACCAGGACCCTCATCCACTGGACAAGCGGGCTGGGCCCTGAGGAGGCCGCAATTAGCACAACTCGGTCTGGTGGGGACGGCAGCGAGGAAGGGGGTGCCAGCTTGCTCCCAGGGTCACGAGCTGTGGTGATGTGCGGCAAGCCCCCTCACCTGCTGGAAGTGACCGCTGAACAGCTCTGGGGGTGACCCGTGATGGGCCCGGGGCACCGCAAGCGGCTGGGGGAGCATTTCAGTCCCTGGGAAAGAAACCAGGGGATGGTCCAGCAGGACACAACTCAGAAGAGCAGAGCCGGGAGAGCCCGCTGATGGTTACTTTTGCCCCGAAGGGAAGAGCCTTGACGGCCGGATCTCTGGGGACCTTCTCCCCATTCCCGCAGAACATTCACCGGGGTTGGAGCCAGGCCTTCAGGATGGCCACACAACTCAGACCGGTCGTCCGGGACCGCGTGCACGTCTGTGTGCGGAGAGACCTTGGGATGGGTTCATTCACGCGTCCGGTGGGACTTCGAACTTTGAACTTATAGAAATAAAATTGCCTTTTGATTCTGCCGTGTGGATTCCCCCCAACACACATGGCGGACGGGTACTGTGGTCCCCCTCGGTGCCCGGGGGGCCGCCCCTGGCCCGCCTGGCCTGCCTGGCAGTTTCCAGGGAGGTTGTGGGGAAGCTGGCAGGGGCCGAGCAGGGCCGGGTGCGTGTCTGCCTCAGCCTTCCCCGCTAAGCCCGCCTGGCCCGCCCTCACTCTCCTCTCCCTGTTTGTTTCCGTTGCTGGGAGAGGGGAAGGCGGTGCCCGAGGGGTGGGGTTCAGGGGCAGCCGGGCCAGGGCTGGCTGGGACCATGGAAGTATTAACCATCAGGAGAGCTAACTGCCCAGCCCAAGGGATAAAGGTTCCCTGCTCTCCCCCGCCCTCTCCTTCCAACAGCCCACCCCACCCCACAAAATGCTCCGAAGAGTCCTGTGTTTCTAGAATTTCGAATGCTTGCCCACATGGCTGCATGAGGTACCTGAAGGGGTGTGGTAAAAAAAGAGCCCGGACTTGTTTCGTGTGGTCCCGGCAGCCAGGCGGATGCAGAAGATGACACTCGGACCATCGGGGCTGATCTGAGACCGTTTGGGTTGCCTTTTGAGGTAATGAGCATCCTGTCTCTCAAGGTGTGCAAGCCCGAACTGTCCAATCATTTGGTTAGAGGTTGCAAAAGGGATTCAAGCACGAGAGGGTCTCTGCGGCCCCTTCCAGATTTGAGACTCTGATTTGGTGCTCACCCCACTAGCCCCAGGACAGTCTCTCCCCAGGGGCCATGCAGAAAAGCTCCTTAGCTCTGGGCACTTTCTCACGCTCTCCACTCCCACCCGGTGCCTTGACTCCTCTTTCCAGGAGTCTCCTGAGAAAGCCACCCAAAATCTCAACCCTATTCCTGTCCCAGCCTCAAAGTCATCAAAAGGGCATTGGGGTGATGGGCACGCCTTGCCGAGAGTGCATGCAGAGCACAAGGAAAATGCAGAAGCGGCACCGGGACCAAGAGTGTCCCAGCAGGGAGGAAGCTTAGAGGGAACGTCTGGCTGTGTAAAGCCAGGCAGATCAAGAACGACCTAGCCTCTCCTGGGACTCGAGATTTTCTGTGATGTTGGAAATGAGCTTCTTCCACGTAACCTTGGGTGATTTGCTGGGATACGTCCCAGAGTATGGGAGGGGGAGGAGAGGGGGAGAGGTCGCCCTCTGGTCTGGAGTGTTACCTGCCAGGCTCCCCCTCTGCAGGGGGAGCGGCCAGGATGGGCAAGAGGGGGAAACTGTGAGGGACTTTGTGGCCTCCACACCTCGACTCCTTGTCTGAGACTCCAGCGTCTCCCCTCCACTGTCACCCAGGCAGCTGTCACCCTTTCTCACCCCAAAAGCCCTGTCTGGCTTTGAACTCTCTGAGCCCCTTTCATCCGAGCCGAATCAAAGTGCTTTTACTGAGACCAATTAATGTCCGGCAGTGACCCGAGTCACAGACAGGAATGCTGAGGCTTTGGGGGTGCCGAGGACATCCCCGCTGAGTCAGGGACAGCCGGGCTTGGCCACCAGGGAAGGCTGCTGAGTCATGCAGCCACTTCTCCGGCAGGTGCGGGGGGCTTGAGCCCGCCTCCCAGCCCCAGCAGAGGGTGACGCAGGGGGCAGGTAGGGGCACGGGGCCAGCCCAGAGCCGGGGGACATGTGCCCGCGCGGCGGCCGCCTGCAGAGCTGATCCAGGGCTCTGAGGTGGAGCCCCACCCCTGGATTTGCCAGACTACACCCGCCCGGCCTGACCCTGCGAGGACCCGAAGACCCAAGGGGCAGAGAACAGGCAGTGGGAAGATGCTGGGGAACCCAGACGACAGAGTCAGGAGCTGGAGCTTTGTTTTTCTCTTCTTTCTTTTTTTTTTTTTTTTTTTTTTTTGCATTTACGTCAACAAAGAAGCACCAAACAGCACTTCCTGGCCCCCCAGCCCTGCTTCCACACACGCTTCTGCCTCAGAGCAGAGGGGGGGAATGCTAGAGCCTTCCCTGGGAGAAAGCATGCCCCCCTCCCAAAGGCCCGATGTCTAGCTGGTTGTTCCTGAGCTGTGGGCCCCCCGTCCCCAAGTCCTCAGGAATTCCAGTTTTCTCTCTTCCTTGTCCCCCCGCCCCCCGCTCTGCAGAGCTGGGCTCACACGGTCCCCCCCTTGGCTCTGCCCCCATCCTCATGCGGCCTGACCCCACCAGCCCCCACTAACGCCAGGGACCTCTTCCCTGCCATCATCCCCCCTGCCCTTCGCAGTGAGAGGGGCGGAGGGTATAAAAGACGTAGCCCACATGCAGCTGGCATCTGAGGCAAGCCCCACTTCTAGGAGCCGACTCAGGCCGGCCCTGCAGCCTGCGGGAGCTTGTGCAGGGTGTGGAGGAATCCCAAGAGCAGCAACCAAGCCCGTCTCCCACATCACGGGCCGATTCCTGGATTCCTGGAGGGGAACGACTCCCAGACCGTCTGCACCTGCCCAGAGGTGGCCGTGTTCCCCCATCCCCGAAGCCAGGCCTTCATTCAGACCTGCCACCAGCCCCCCTCCCCCCCGCCGCGGGTCTAGGCCACGGCAAGATGGTCTCGTTCTTAGGCCGCGGGAGCTGCCAGGCCCCGCACACCCGCGGTTTCACGAGCCGCAGTTGTGGTGAAACGCAGACCATGCTTTAAGCCTGTGAACTCTGCCCGCTTCTCCGCACGGGGCCTCACAAGTCAGCAACGGGCCTGGAACACCCTTTCTTCCCGATCCGCACTCCGACAGGGCCCTTGCCTCCTTGGCCCTCAGATGGGTGACTCAGGAAGGGATCTGGGCAAACTCCAGGCACCCGAGGCCCTTTCTGGCTTTCCTGGCAAGAGGTTGCCCCGGCACAGGTAAGGGCTCACACCTGCCTGGTCCCCGCAGGTAGTAACCGTAGTTGAGGAGCCTGAGGAGCTAAACCACCACAGAAGGCGCCGGAATCCTCAGCGGCGTGCCCGTGAGGTCAGGGGGTGTCTCCCGTCCTGGGAGAGTACCACATCTTTCCAAGACGGGGGGGGGGGCGCACTCAGGGCCACTGAGCAGGAAGGAGGGAGCCCCCCGCCCCGGCAGCTAGCCTGGGCAGGGTGGGGCAGGCGGACAAGGTGCCTGGGGAGGCTTCCCTGACGAAGACGAGGCACAGGGAGAAGCTTGCCTGCCCACTCTCCCTGGGCCCTATGAAAAGAGCACTCTTGCCCGAGGCCCTTATAACCTGGCGTTGCAAACAGCCAGGACGCGCCCGGCACTGCCCTCTGCCTCCTCTAGTGCAGGGCCCATGGAGGGAAGCAAGGCTGGGCTGTGGATTCGAGGCCTAGAGCACCAAGGGGGTGGGCTGGAGCCTTCCCCACCCCCCTGGCATACAGAACGGGGAAACGGCTCCACCCCTGGGCCACAGCTGTGCAGCCCACAAGGAGCCTGGTGAGCGGGGTCCTTCCAGAAAAGGCTGAGACTATTCTAGAGGCACAAGACATTTGGCGTGGGCAGCCGAGGGAGGAGCAGGAGCAGACTGGCCAAGCGAGAAGCTTCCGGGAGGGGGGACCCAGGTCCGCTGCACCGGGTGCCTGGGGGGCACCCAGCCGAGGCAGGCGCTCAAGAAGCCTTTGAATGCGTGAATGAATCAGAGTGTTTGGGGGAAACCAGAGGCAAGCTGACTAACAGAGGCGACAGTGGCCTTGGGGAGCCCCAGCTGCCAGAGTTAGGAGAGAGCAGGTGACGGGGCAGCCGGGTCTGGGCGAGGAGCAGGGCCCTGGGTGGGCCTGGGGGTGGACAGGTGTCCGTGTTGAGGCACTGCCTGGAGTGGAGAGGGCAGAGCAGGAGGGTGCAAACACCACCCCCACCCCCCACCCCCGCCACAGGAGGTGGGGTCTGAGCCACAGGTGGGGGCCCAGCCCGGGTCCCTCCTGCCCCAGCCCCTCCCTGAGAGACAGCTCCAACCGCTGGCACTGAAATACCTCTAAACCAGGCGTGGGACAGGGGCAGAGCAAGGCTGTGCTGAAGGAGGACACGAAGGCCACATGCCGGGGCCCCAAGAAGCCCAGAGGACCCAGGGCGAAGGGCCGAGAGGCTGGGATGGACCACCTGCAGAGGGCACCTTTCGGTCCCCTGCCCCAGGCCATCGCGCCGCCCTCGGCCCTGGCTCCCTTCAGTACCCTGCAGCAGACACAGCCCCCGCCCCCAAGAAAGCTGAGCCGTTCCTTAAAGAAGTGGGATAAATTTAATCTGTACCTCTAAAATGTCTAGGCTAGCGGCAGTCATGGACGCCCAGAGACTGGGCAGAGCCTGTCCCCTTGCAGGCGTCCCCGGGGACACGGAGCCCCCCCCCCCCCCTCAGTTCACAGAGGCGGCTGGCAGGATGTTGGCTTTGCGCTCGGCTTCCACACAGTACTTCTCAGGGAGGCCGGTGGCTCTGCAGGGGGCAGGGGGCGGGACAGGCGTGCGTGGGCCGTGGGACCAGACAGGAGCAGCAGGAAGCAGGCCCCGGTGGGGGTTCCGGGACCTGGGGGCCCGCGCCCCCCATCCCGGCTCCTACAATCCGTCCCCCAGACACGTTCCCGTCAGGGCTCCGGCCCCTGCCACGGATCCAGGAGACCCCCGGGGCCCGGAACCTTCTGCGGCAGCCCCCCCCCTTCCGGAGCCGGGAGTCGCCCCGACTCCCGCACACCCCGTCCTTGGGAGAGGGGGGCACGGGGCGGGGCGCAGGGATCCGGGCGCACCTCAGCTCCTGGATCTTCTTCTTCTTGAGGTCATCGATGCGCTCGCGCCGCTTCTGGGCCTCCTCCTGGAGACGCCGGCCCTCCTCAAAGGTGGCGATGCGGTCCTGCACCTGCTTCTGCTGGTTCTCGCGCACTTGGCGCCGGAGCTCGTCCGCGTGCCGCAGGCGCCCCGCCGCCTTTTTCTCCGCCTCCAGCCGCTCCTTCTCGATCTGCTCTCTCTGAGCCCTGGAGGAGGGACACCGGCTTCCGAACGGCCCGTCTGGGCCGGCCCAGCGAGGAGAGGCACCCCGGGAACCTTCCGGAAGGGCTCCTCCGGTGGACATGCTTCAGAGACCGCAGCCCCGCACACTGCAGCCCTTTTCCGGGGCTCAGAGACCAGAGCTGCCCCCAGGCATGCCGCCCCCTCCTCAGCCAGGCCTGGCACCGCGGGCGGGCTCCGAAGGGCCCCCCATGTGCGCTCTGGTTCTCCTCCATCACTGTTTTGAAATTTTTTTTTTTTAATTTTTTAATGTTTATTTACTTTCAAGAAAGAGGGAGACAGACAAAGTGTGAGCAGGGGAGAAGCAGAGAGAGGGAGACACAGAATCCGAAGCAGGCTCCGGGCTCTGAGCTGTCGGCACAGAGCCCGACGCGGGGCCCCAACCCACAAACCATGAGACCTGAGCCGAAATCGGACGCTTAGCCGACTGAGCCACCCAGGCGCCCACTGTTTTGAAATTCTTAATACTTTTTGAACGAGAGATCCCGCATTCTTATATTTCACCAGGAGCTGGCCCGTGCTCAGGGTTTCGCCCACTGGAAGCTACTGTTCCAGCTCTTTCTGTCGTACAATGCAGAACTCGTCTCTGGCTTGTTCTAAGATAGTCTCTCTCCCTCTCCCTCCCTCCCTCCCTCCCTTCCTTCCCACAAACAATAACAATGACATTAACAAAACTGCAACGGGGATGCTTAGAAGTGACAAGGACTGACACCTGCCGTGCAGGCTCTCGTGTTTGCGGGAAGAAGGCGGGAGCTCGCCAAATTCCCCACAGGGGCCTCCTCACGAGGGGACTTTTACGGGCCCTGATTTCCCTGGCCAAGCAGCCAAGCAGCCCGCGTGGGCCAGACAGGCTCCGGAAAACTCAAAGGTACTGTGTTCACATCCCAGGGGGAGCGCGGTGCTAGGCCACCCTGGGCTATCATCTTAGTTCTTTTTTATTTTTATTAAACTGTTTTTTTCATGTTTATTTTTTGAGAGAGAGACAGACAGAGCATGAGCAGGGGAAGGGCACAGAGAGAGAGAGAGAGAGAGAGGGAGACACAGAATCCAAAGCAGACTCCAGGCTCTGAGCCGTCAGCACAGAGCCCGACGTGGGACTCGAACCCACGAACCTCGAGATCATGACCTGAGCCGAAGTCAGACACTTAACCAACGGAGCCACCCAGATGCCTCTTGACAGAATCAAAAACCAAAACAACATGTAAAATCATCTCAGGCAGGGATTCCTTACCTGCCCCCCTGCCCTGAGGGTACTCGTGTCCCCGACAAAGCTTCCAAAAGCACAAGTCACTTACTCATCTCCCCAGACCCACAACACGCAGCATCGTCTCAACTCTGGGCACGTCCCTTACACCGGCGGGCACCTCCCAAACCCTGCACCTGCCACGGAGCCTCCCGGGCTGTCAGGAGACACGCGCTGGCTTCCTCACCCCTCTGTGTTTAGACTCCAAACCTCCACTGCTCAGACACATCTGTGACAGCAGGAAGCCTTGCCTCTTTGCCTCACCCTTATTTTCTTAGATGGATAAGGGTTTTCTGTTGTTTTCCATCCTGCGAGACAGGGTGGAAATGGGAAGCTGCTTGTGTCACCGGAGATCCCCTGGGCTGGCAGGCAGTGAGAGATCTGAGTTGGGAAGAGCCTGGTCACTTCACGGGGTTAGGGCAGTGACCTTGGAGCCTGGGCCTCACCCCGGACCAGTTACATCAGAATCCGTGGAGGTGGAGCCCGGGCCACAGTACTTGGTGAAAGCTCCAAGGCAATTCTCAGCGCCACGGGGGAGGGGAGGTCAGCTCTCCCTGCCTAGTCGGTGAGCTGAGAGTCAAAGGCATCCCTCTGTCCGGAAGCAGGAAGCCCACGTAGAGGCCATCCACAAGGTCATGCTTTGAAGTAGGAAAAGTTGCATTGCTGGCTACGGGCAGGGACATTCCTAGCACTTGAAGACACCTGGCCTGGTGGTCACGTGGCCCTGGAGACACCAGGTCTAGATGCTAACCCAGAACGGCAGGTGACACCGAACATCTCCGAGGGGCTGGTCTCGCTTTAATAACTGGCTGGTGCATATGCTTCAGGCAAACAAAGCAAAGAAGGGACAAATGGGTCAGGGGAGAAGGAGGACCTTAATTTCTTTCCATTAATATTTATTAGTGCCTGCTAAAGGCATGTGACAGTGAGGGCAGGCATCTGAAAGGTAGTTTGGAGCCCAGGGGCAGAATCTTCGGGGCCATTAAGGAAGCTGCCTTCCTCGGCAGGCTTCCGGAGACCACGGCATGACCCTTGAGGGCAGGCAAAGGCCACCGCGGCTGGGGGGAGCAGGCGCGGGGGGCCCAGGGTCCAATAAAAGACCAGGACCCTGGCCCTGGCAAGGACGGAGATTCCTACAGATCTGCTCTGCCTCTGGCGGGGGGCCCTGGGGCCTGGCATGCAACTAGTGGGGTCAATACCAAGGAGGACCTCTGGCACATAGACCAGGTAGACGAGAAGGCCGGGCCGCACCTCTCAGTCTCTACTCACCGGAGCACGATTTCTGTAATCTCGTATCCACACCCCCATCGCAATTCGGTTTGTTTCTTTGAAAGCTGCTGCTATCACAGAGTCCGAACCAGAGCAAGAAAGGAGTCACTCCTGGTGAGCCCAGAACACTTAGCCCAGGGGGTGGGGTCTGGTGGCGGCAGGTGACCCCGACTGACGCCGGAGCAGCCGTGACGGCTGGCGGCTCTGGGGGTGAACGACGGGCAAGGAGAGCGACAGTTGTGAACCCCTCACTTCCACTTACAGGTGGGAGTTATGGCGGAGACAAAAGACAACGAAAATAAAAGGATGACGAGCTGGCAGGAAAGACAGATGGATACAGGGGAGGTCAATCCAAGTAGGAGTTGCTCACATCCTTCCCACAGCGATGGCCAACGACAGTGTTTTGTTCACCTCCAATATGTCCCACGGCGGAGCCTTGAGTTTACGTGTTGGATACTGTTTATCAAATGAATGGCAAAGACACCCCCCGCCCCCCGGAGCTCTTCTCCAGTGACTCACAAGCTTGGTGTCCGAAGCTCTCTCTGTTCCTCGTATTCTCCCCCGCTGCCCGCTTTATCCTCACCCCTAACCAGCGGGGGTACGTCGAGGCAGGGGAGGGCAGAGGGACCAGATGTATACTTTTACTTACGCCTTTAATCCTCCGGGACAAACAATCCAAACAATACCCAATTCTTTAGACTCCTCCGGGTGCTGGTTTCCAAATCCCTAATCGGAAAATTCTTGGCTCCTGGGGCTCCTGGGTGGCTCAGTCGGTGGAGTGTCCAACTTTGGCTCCGGTCATGATCTCACAGCTCGTGAGTTCGAGCCCCGCGTCGGGCTCTATGCTGACAGCTCGGAGCCTGCTTCGGGTTCTGGGTCTCCCTCTCTCTCTGCCCCTCCCCCTCTCAAGCTCTGTCTCTCTCTCTCAAAAATAAATAAACATTAAAAGTTCAAAAAAAAAAAAAACCAAAAACAAAAACCTCTCGGCTCCCCATTCTTGTCTTTGAAACATTTCAACTACCCATCCATTCAGAATGGCCCCACCGTCCCGGGCAAGAGGCGAGCACCTCTGTCTGTGCACCTGCCAGCAGGGTCCTCCCCCCAGCGCGGGCCATCCCTGCCGCAGGCCAAGGAAAGGAAGCCGGGGTGCCCGGCCCCACCTACCGAAGAATCCTCTCGAAATCGTCCCGGTCCCGTTGCACCTGAACGGCCAGAGCGTGCTCCTTGAAAGCCACCTGTTCCAGCCGGCTCTGGCGCAGTTTGGCCTCTGTCTCCATCTTCTTCTGCGCGTTTTCCTTTTCCTTCCTGCGCCACTCCCTGTCCGCAACCTCCTGGTTGCGCTTGGCCCGCAAGGCATCCTGGGAAAGGAGAGGGTGGGGAGACCAGCGAGGGTGCAAACCGACCCCGAGACCCAGCGGGCACCTCAGGAAGACACCGGCTGCAGACTCCGACATGGCCTGCTTTGAGGCGTGGCGTGGATTTCTCTGGCGACGAGGTCATTGCAGGGAAGAGCACACAGAATCTCGTAGAACTTTCTGGTCCGCAGATACCCCGAGGGGTCACCTTGCCCTCCCTCGCCGCCACCCATCCCAATGCTTTCCTCCCCAGACCTCGAACACCTCCAGGCGGTCCTGCGATGGCCTCTCGTTTTAAAAGCTGCTAATGATCGGGGCGCCTGGGTGGCTCTGTCGGTTAAGCGTCTGACTTGGGCTCCAGTCATGCTCTTGTGGTTCGCGGGTTCAAGCCCCGCATCGGGCTCCTGCTTCAGATTCTGTGTCTCCCTCTCTCTCTCTCTGCTCCTCCCCGCCCTCATCAGACTGTTCAAGTCTACGTAACCTGCATCCCCTCTTCCGCACCTCTGCCCTCCAGGGTGGTTTCGCAGGCTGTCCAAGGGGGTAGTTAAGGGAGTGGGGGAGGCACGGGGGAGCCGAGACTGAGCGGGTACCTGCTGTGCCTGGTGATCCTGCGCCTTCTCCTGCATGGCCCTCAGCCGGGTGATCTCCTTCTCTTTCTCCCTCCGGATTCTCTCCTGCTCAGCCTCAAACTCTGCCTCTCGAGCCTGCCAGGAAGAAAAGGTCTCGTAGAGCAGCCCCCACCGCTGCAGCCTTGCAGAGACACGGCCAGCCACGCTTCGGGCAGTCCTGCGGGGGCCAGCAGATACCCAAGGAGCGAACCATCAGAGTCGGCGCCCTTTGCCACTTCTCGGGAAGAGCAGACATATCCCTACAATCTTCCCAAACCCGGCTTCCCAACTAGCATTCTTGGGTAGTCATAAGACTAATGGCTTGGGTCGGGCGGAAACGTGATCCTCCCATAAAGAATGTTCCGTAGCCATCATTCTACCTGCCCAGCCTTCTGTGAAGCCCAGTGAGTTGCCCACTTGTGAGTTGTGCACGGGGGGCTGTGTGTCAAGCTGGCCTCGGTTTCACCTCGCCCCAGATGGCAGGTTTCTCCTCGCTCTGGAGACTTCCACAACCAGTCTCTGCCTTTAGCCCTAGAGGGGCAGCCCCGGCTGCAAGAGCAGAGGCCCCTGTGAGGTGAGTCTTGTGACATGGGCTGTGGGCGTGCCCAGGCGCCCGACCGCTATGCCGGTCGCCAGCCTATCCCAGCTCCGCCCCCCGCCCCGGTGTCCCTTCCACATGTGAAGACCAGCCCTACTCTTCTCCTGCTCGGAAATCTCCGGTGACTTCCCCACCAGTCCAGGCCTCCAGCCTCCGCTCAAGGTCCAAGGGGTCCCCAACAACCGCTCTCAGCTCCCCGTCGCCTCGCCACCTCATCTCTTGTCATGACGGCCACGGGCTCTGCAAACTGTCCACCAGCTCCCACACGTGACCGGCTTATTACCACTACATCCACCCATTCGGGGAACCGGTGGCTGAGCTCCGCACAAAGTCCACGGCATTCCAGGTACGTTCGACCCAGTCTGCTGTTGGACACACAGCGAAGCATTGGGGGCATTTTGCATCGGTCAGTGACAGGGCTTACAAGGTGCTGTAATGGTTCAGTGAGACAACAGCTGTAAAGCACTGCGCACAGAGCCCGTGCACAGACTGAGCTCCCGACGTACGGCAGCTCTGTGATCACTGTGATGCCCCAACCATCCCCGCCCCCAACCATCTCTGCCCCCAACCTCTGTTCCTGCTGTTGCCTGCATCTCCTGGCATCTGATAAGCAAGCCAAAGCCAAACAATAAATACATTAAAAAGCTTTGTTGAGCTTCATTTTCTGTGGCTTGCATCTGGAGCATACAGGTATATCCGATCTGCCGTTTTCAGAACACGCCCGCGATGCCCCCCTGCCTGTCATCCCTACTACAGGGAAGTAGGGCACGTTCTCTGTCACCACGGAGCCTCGGAGCTAGCAGGAGGGGGCACACACATGCAGCACTGAATGCCTTTCCTGCCACCTTCAGCCCTCCCTTCTCGTTGTACCTAACTCCACGTTCGCTCCGTCTAAGCCACGTTCGCTCTGTTTTCCACTCTCCACTCCTCACTGACCCTGGTCCCTCTGGTTCTCAGCCCGGCTCCTGAGTGAGCCCACGTGGCGTGAGCCGCCTCTCCTGGATCCCCTGCTCTGCGCCACACCTGTGGTTGCGGCTTCCACAGCCACTGCGGGAGAAGGCTCTATTTCCTAACACCCAGGACAGGATGCCCAATCTAGGAATTTTCACAAGAAAGTTATGGGGCGGGTGACCCATGATTACCGGGGATATAATTACGCAGAGGCCACCAGGAATCCACAAAAACTTCACTTTCCCCGATAGTTTTCATTTTGTTCCCTGCCTGTACCTGACCCTCATCCAACTTCTAATCAAAGGTGTTAACAAGGATATAACACCCTAAATTGGGTGTCCCTCGAGCCTGCTCTCTGTTAATGAATAAGTGAACCGGCCAACATGAAGAGGAAAAGGAGCCAGGTCCTTGAATGAAGGACATCCGTTTTGAAAGGGAGGCACGGCTGCCTGCGGCGAGTCCCCTTAGATCTCAGGCCTGCCTGTCCGTGTCGTAGATGTTTCGCTCGTGGCCACAAGCCCCAGGCCTCGGAAACCTACCGTCTTCAGGGGCGCCTGGGTGGCTCAGTCCGTGGAGCGTCCAGCTTCGGCTCAGGTCGTGATCTCGCGGTTCATGAGTTCGAGCCCCACGTCGGGCTCTGTGCTGACAGCATGGAGCCTGCTTCGGATGCTCTGCCCACCCCACCCCCACCCCTTCCCTGCTTGCGCTCAGAGGAAGAAAGAAAGAAACCCACCATCTTCTTCTTGGTGAACTCCATCACCATCTGGTCCGCCAGCTTCTCCTGGGCGAGCAGCTCTGCTTTCTGTCTCTGGTTTTCGTCGTTAATGCGCTTAATCTCGGCTTGCATCTTCAATTTTTCCTGGTGCCTTCGTTCCATGTCCTGAAGGAAGGAAGCCTCCAAGTGGAAGGGGGCAAGACCAGGAGACACTGGCACGTGGGGGCAGAGAGAGGCAGGGGGACGCGCACCGTCTGCGGTCTAGCCACCGCCGCCGGCCCCTGGTCAAGGGGCCCTCCAGCGTCGCCGGTGACCCCTCGCAGCCCCTCCTTGCCGTCTGTACCCTCTTGGCTTGGTGGCGGTCCTGACACTCTTGATTTCCATACACTCTCAGGGAAGCAGAGGCTCTTAAAACTCTACCCGGCGGCTCCCACGTGTCCTACGAAGTCCTACCCGCTGTTCCCGGGCTTTTCCCCTGCCTTCAGTTTCCTTCTCTTAGGCAAACCCTAGCTTTTGGTCTCGACTCAATGGCGATGACCGAAATAATAAAGCGTTGCCCTCATTGAGTACGTTCTACCCGTTGGGCACTTTATGCAGCCTAGCTCTGAAACCTAAATGCACCCCAAGACCCTGAAGGGTAAAGCTTGTTATGTCTCTCCTGCGGATGAAGACACTGAGGCCCTGAATTTAAGTGACTTGTCCGGGGCCATCCAGCTAACAAACGCCAGTTCCAGAATTTTGGAACCCGGTCTTTCTAAATCAAAGTTCCAGTCTTCCCTGTCGGTTCTCTCTGCACCTCTGAATCCCCTCTGCCCTCAAGACGGTGCCACAGCTCAGGCACTGCCCTGTGGGTCCCCATTCATTCTTGTGGGTTTACTCTGTCCCAGCCAGGGGACGGCAACCACGTCACGTTTCCTGCCTTCCTGGCAACATGCGGCCCAGTGACAGGAAAACAGCAAATACTCAATAAACTAGAACAGGGATAAAGGAGAACCAAAGTGAATGGCGTGTGAGCAAAATAAAAAAAAAAAAAAAGGTAGACACAGAGAAACACGATGAGTGAATGATGGCGGTCAAGGCACCTGACCCTGAGGGACAAGATCCCTTCTAAGGAAGGAGCCTGAACTTGCAAAGCCCCCGATGATCTGACGGAGCACATTCTCAGGGCCCCATGCGGAGTCTTGTGCACAAGATGGAATGTTGGAATCTGGCCCACCTATACTCTCCCAGGAATCTCCATCTCTTTGTGCCCAATTCTTCTACCCATCAACTCCCGCCGTGTGCTGTTTCCAGTTCCTTCCATCTGTCAAAGGCCAGGCCGCACCCAAGACTTCCAGCTCTTCCCCAGCCGCGCTTCTGACCTGACTCATCTGAGGCAACTCTGCGGGCTCTCCCCAAGCTTGACTCACAGCCGAGTTCAGGGCTCCCGGGAAGCCTCGTGCACCAGATCAACACAGCACTGACTGCCCCCCCCCCACCTCCCCCCCAGGCCTGTGATGCATGAGTCATGGCCGTCAGTGCTCCCTCACTCTCGCCGTGCCTACCTGTTCACTCACCCCACTTTTCCCCACTTGGCCCAGCGACTCTCCACCCCTTTCCCCCTTCTCCCTTTCTTCCTTTCCTTTCTATCTGCTTCCCACCAGAGCTGGGGCTGCCACTGGTACCCATGCACTATTTAATCCCTTGACCCGCTCAACTAGAAAACCCACCGACTTCCCATCCACGATGCATACAACCATGCATTGACTCACGTCTTTGCCTATTTATTTACTTTTCAGTTTGTTGTTTTTGTTGGCTCACTAGACTTCCAAGAAACTGAAGGACTTTCACTGTCTCTGATCTCTGAAGCCATTGCAAAGCAACCCCAGGAACCCCTCCCTCCCCCCGCCGCCCTGCTCTACTCCCTCTTGCTAGCAAGGTGGGGAGCACTGCCCTGCACCACCCAGAGATCATAAGGCAGGTCTGAGCTGGGAGACACACGTTCCTATCTTAAATGTTTTTTTAATGTTTGTTTATTTATTTTTGAGAGTGAGAGAGAGACAGAGACAGAGCACGAGCAGGGGATGAGCAGAGAGGGAGACACAGAATCCGAATCAGGCTCCAGGCTCCGAGCTGTCAGCACAGAGCCCGACGCGGGGCTCGAACTCACAAATCAGGAGATCATGACCTGAGCCGAAGCAGGACGCTCAACCGACAGAGCCACCCAGGCGCCCCAACACATTCCTATCTTCAAGTCGCCTAAGAACACTTCCTGGAAGCTCGGAAAGTGCCTCTTCGAAGGACAGTACCAGTACGACGAGACACATCAGGCAACGGTGTTGACTCACGGATGCCTGGAACTTTCTCAGGGAGTCCACCAATTCCCCCTCCGACAATCTAGCCAGATCTCCCGGCCTTCCTTTCGCACCCCTTCCCTGCATGCTGAAGCCCTGTCTCCTCTTCCGGGCTCTTTCCCTTGCTCCCTGAGCCAGGAGATCGGCCAGGCCTCTCTGGCTTCTCAGCCCAGCTGGGCCCCCTTCTCAAGCAGCTCACAAGGCTGCCTGCCACCCCCCCCGCCCCAGTCTTCCTGACTCTCCCAGTGCTCCTCCCCTCACCCCCCACACAGGCCCTCACACTGTGAGGCACTCTGAGAAGCCTCCATAACTGTGAGGCTGCCCCCCAAGACCCCTCGGGGACCCCCATCCCTCACCGCCATCACATCACAGGGTGGGGGGGGGGGGACGACAACCAGCCATCTTAACGTGGGGAATGAGGAGAAAAAGGAAAGAATGCACACTCCACAAGTTAAATGACACCCTGAGGACATAACCCGACAGGCCGGAAAGGGGGACGCTCCTCAAGTCTAGCTAGCGTGGGCGCTCCAAAATACCGGTGCCATAGCAATGAAGGCAGGAAGGAACCAGAGCTCTTCCAGGTGAAAGCTGACAAAGGAGGCCCAAGTGAACGCAAGGTGGGGACCTTGATTGGATCCTGGTTGGAGCGACAGAAGACAACTCAAGGCACCATCAGGGAGCCACTGGGGGACTAAATGTGGATTCGGTATTAAACGATATCAGAGAATCATTGGATTCCGCTTTTCGACGAGGGGCTGTGAGTGTTGTAGCGTCCACTGGACAGAGAACGTCTCTGTGCTTCCGAGACAAGGGCCGCAGCATTTAGTAGCAAAGAGCCAAGACACCTGCAGCTCACCGCCGAATAGCGTAACAGTGACAGAACGCGTATGTGCTCCGAAAAGAGACAAGCGAGCAAGGCAGACTGGCAAGCGGAAAGTCTCGAAGTCTCAGCCCAGCGCTGATGGGTGTGACACAATTCTTCCAGTTTGCCTGTGTGTATAAAAATGTTCACAGGCGGGGCGCCTGGGTGGCGCAGTCGGTTAAGCGTCCGACTTCAGCCAGGTCACGATCTCGCGGTCCGGGAGTTCGAGCCCCGTGTCGGGCTCTGGGCTGATGGCTCAGAGCCTGGAGCCTGTTTCCGATTCTGTGTCTCCCTCTCTCTCTGCCCCTCCCCCGTTCATGCTCTGTCTCTCTCTGTCCCAAAAATAAATAAACGTTGAAAAAAGAAATTTAAAAAAAAAAAAAAATGTTCACAGGCAAGGGGCGCCTGGGTGGCTCAGTCGGTTGAGCGACCGCCTTCAGCTCAGGTCATGATCTCACGGTTTGCGAGCTCGAGCCCCGCGTCGGGCTCTGGGCTGACGGCTCGGAGCCTGGAGCCCGCTTCGGATTCTGTGTCTCCCTCTCTCTCTGCCCCTCCCCCTCTCATGCTCTGTCTCTGTCTCAGAAATAAATAAACATTAAAAAAATTTTTTTTGATTTTTTTTTTAAATGTTCACAGGCCAAAAAAACGGAGTGGGGAGGGGAGAACAAATAAATGTGCCAAATGCTCGCCAGCCAAGGGCCTCTGCCTAATCCCAGCAGACCACGCCGGCAAACAGGAGAGGATTTAAGTCTCCGTGGTTCCGGCGGGTAGTTCGGGCAGGTATGTCATCGTTTCTTCTGCGATGGATGTGCCCACGGGTTTTATTTAGACGAACGGGTTGGGGGGGGGGTTGGTGGGGGCGGCAGGGGGAAGGCTTGGCTCTTGGCACACAATTAATCACACTGGGGTGCCCTGTGCTTTGAATGAGGGAACCGCAGGGAGCCTGGGCCATGGACCCCGGTCCGGTCCACCTGCTCGGCGCATCGCATCCCCGGATAATGGCAAGAGGGCTAGAAAACATCCCTAGGGGCTTGCGTGTGCGAGGCAGACAGCTATGTATTTCCTTTCTGTGTCCACTCACGCAGGCGCGTTGGTGTCGGACCCCACGACCCGGGGAGGGGGGCGGGAGGCCACGAGTCCAAATCCCTGCCCACCCCCGCCCCCCAGCGCGGCGCCACGGCCAAACGCCTGTTCAGTGCGGCCGCGACGAGCTAAGGGCGGCGATGTGAAATGCGCAGGTGCCTCACAGAAAAGCAGTGCACGCCCCAGTCCCCCGGATCTCGAGCGCCTTGGCGCCGGAGCCGCTAGGAGCGGCGCTCGGTCGGGCGCGTTACCCGCAGATCTTCCTCTTGGAGCTGCTGCAGGGACGCCAGCACCTGCTCCTTCTCCTGCTCCCGCTGCTCCGCCAGCAGCGACCGCTCCTCCCGGTTCTTTTCCATCTGCTGCACGATGTGTCGTCTGCCCCTAGGAGCGAACGGCAGCGCAGGGGCTCAGAAACCCGGGGCCCGCGCTTCTCTGCTCCAGCCTCCACCCACACAGCCCCCACGATGGGAGGTGGCAGTCACAGGGACAACTCGACGAGCGCCCCGTAAAACATCGCCGTGCTTTCTGAGACCAGACTGTCCTGAGGGGGCCAGTTCCCTACCTTCCAAGCCCCCTTTCTTCTAAAATAATTTTTTAACATTGATTTATTTTTGAGAGAGACAGACACAGAGACAGAGCGCGGGCAGGGGAGGGGCAGAGAGAGAGGGAGACACAGAATCCGAAGCAGGCTCCGGGCTCCCGGCTGTCAGCACAGAGCCTGACGCCGGGCTCGAACCCACGAACCTTGAGATCGCGATCTGAGCCGAAGTCGGATGCTCAACTGACCGAGCCCCCCCAGGCGCCCCAAGCTGCCTTTCCTGAGATTCCCCTTCTTCGTTTGTTTGCCCACGAGTGCACCCCACATCGCAACGCGCCTTCTCCCTTTCAGCGTGTCAAGGGCTTCTGAAATCCTATCGTCGCCCCCCGCAAGCCCGCCAGAGCAATCGTGGGGCACCGGCCCCCCCCCCCATGCTCGCTTCAGTTAGAAAGCCCACGGTCTCCTTCCTGTGCTGCCTCTTGCTGCGTCCTGTCTTGTCCCCCAGCCACCTCCCCCGCCCACTTCGCTAGCCGTCCGTCTGTCTTATGCCCCGGCCCTCACCGCCGATGGACAGGGCTGGGTGTGAGCAAGCCTCTCGGCTCAGCAATGCCCTGGCTCAGCTCCACAGTAAAAAGCAGAGAACCCAGAGTCTGCAATCAGCGTGGCCGGTGACTCCCTGTGTGTCGTTGGGGTGACAATAAACGCAGAGGCGTCCAGACCCCATGACGGATGAGTAAAGGCAGGGACAATGAGGGAGGACACAGGTCGGGGTGAGCATGGGGAGGAAGGACTACGAGACTCCCATCCAGGTGGAGCCCTTGAATGGCTTCCTGACTCCAGATGAAATAAACGGGAGGAATGAGTAAAAGAGTCTCAGGGAGGCAGGGCTGGGGCTCAATATAAGGACCAGCTCAGATCATTAGAGCGGCCTAATGAGGCAGGCAGAGATTTTTTTTCCTTAATTAGAGCCGTTTGTGCAGGAGATTAAGAACTACTGAGCTAATAAATAAATGTTTATAGGGAGCCTACTGTAATCTGCCAGGGACCTACGAGAAGAACAGGGAAGGATGGTTCCAGAAGACTGAATCAGACGGAGAGAGACACCAGCCAGTCAGTGTGGTTCAAGGACTGTTTATGGAAATATTTCTTGCCTTCCATGGTGGGTGTTCTATCTAGATCTGGGACACCGTGATTCTATGATTTACCTCCTCTGGGGCCTGTCCTTTCCTGCAAAGGGAAGGGGAGTGAATTTATTCATTCTAACAGGTGTTAACCACCGGCCACACTCTCTGCGAGGCCCGGGAGCTACGGAAGTGAGTTAAGACGGGGACGCCGTCCTCAGGGAGCACGCCGTCTGGCGCGGGCCGGGGAGCCGCGGTGCGAGAAGCATAACACAGTGTGGGGGAGACCACACCACGGTGTGGCCGGGCACCAGGAGGGAGCCAGCGAGCCTGCCTGCTGAAGGGAGAGGGGTGTCCGGGGGAGGTGACAGCAAAAGTGTCACACACGGAAAGAAGAGAAGGCGTTTTCCAGGGCCAAAGGGGGAAAAGAAGAGGCTTCACAGCAGGAGGAAGGACAGAAGCGTGAACTGTGACAAGCCCAGGGGTGCTGGGGGAAGGGGGTGGGGGGGGGATGCGCAGAGGGGACGGCAGGAAAAGGTGGGAAATGAGGCTGAAGGGGGGCCAGGTTGTGAAGCAACCATCTTGGGAATCAGCCTTGAGAAGCTCTGCGGTTCTCGGAATCCCTTCCTCAGGCTCTGAGATGCTCACAGATGGTGATCGTGACCATTTCTCTTCTCCTCCCTTGGCAAGGCTACCCGCACCCAAAGAGCCACGGAAGCGCCAGGGAGGGAGGCCCCAAAACCACCGCTTTACCGGATTCTCTCCTCCCTCCTCTTCCTGTCCAGCTCCTCCTGCCTTTGAACGGCCTTCTGCCGTTCCTCCTCCATCATGTGATCCAAACGCCTCTCCTCCGCGTCCAGCTCTCTTTGAATCAGCTGCTTCTCCAGGATTTGGGCATCCCGGATGGCATGGCACTTGGCATTGAGGATGATCTGGAGGCGGGGAGACGACAGTGGCCCTGGGTCAAGGCACGCGGATCGGGCGGGATGCGCCAGGGGGTGTGGAAGGTGGGGGCGAGAAACGGGTCCCGCTGGGTATGCTGGACACGCGCACAGCCTCGCGCAAGCCCGGGAGAGCGAGAGCATCCTGTGCTCGCCCTCGCCTCGGCGGAGCTCCACGCCGACATGTGCCAGGCCCCTGGTCTGTGCGAGGAGAGGCCACGGTAGCGCCTTGCAGGGTATCGGGCCTTCGTGTCCGGGGGAGGGGGGGGGGGTCATCGCGCTTCGAGAACATAAGGAAAGCTACGGACCCTGTCCTCCTTAAGATTCACTCACACACACGCACGTTACATTTCCATGAAACTTCAGAGGTTCGAGGTTCCCCCTGGGGGACCCATGAACCCCCATATTCAGACCCTCTGTCCTACTTCTCAGGGAACCTAAGACACTCTTGCAGAGACCAAGCCGCTAGAGTTTTAAGGGGGATGAGCCCCACGTGACACATCAGGGGACGGCCACCCATGAGAATGAGCGAGAGAAAGTTCTGGAAAATAAAAGGAGGTGTGAGGAGAAGGTGTAGATGAGGGGGTTGGGGGTCGGCGGTGAGCATTTGCTTGGGACCCACGTGCAACTGAGAAACAAAAGTCCAAACGAGCCTCGGGTCTTCACGCTCTGGGCTAAAGGAGGCGCTTTGGTGTCTTGAGAAGAAGCCCGCTGGGGGGGGGGGGGGGGCAGGGCGCGCGGCCAGAATGGAGCCAGCAGGACAGACGCGGAAGTCGCGTCCTCACCTTCATGTGCCCACCACACTTGGGAAAGCCTCTGCTGTGGGTTAGCCCGTTCACCCCCGCCAATCACCCTGCTAAGCGGTTTCACCACTCTCGCTCTACAAATGAAGGCAGCGAGGGGCGCCTGGGGGCTGGGTCGTTGAGCGTCCAACTTCAGCTCGGGTCACCATCTCACAGTTCGTGGGTTCGAGCCCCGCGTCGGGCTCTGTGCAGACGGCTCGGAGCCTGGAGCCCGCTTCCGATTCTGTGTCTACTCCTCTCTCTGCCCCTCCCCCGCTCATGCTCTGTCTCTCTCTCAAAAATAAACATTAAAAAAAAACAAAAACAAAAACACAAACAGATGAAGGAAGTGAGTCCCAGGGTTGGTATGTGACTTGCTGGGGGTCACACAGCTAGCCTGTGGCAAGGCCGGTCCTCCCTCCGACTGCAGCAACACGCCTCCTCCATCAGCCCCTCACCGGTCACCCCTGCTTTCCCCACGTCCAGCTGGGGCAGAGCCTGTCCGGTAAGAGGAGGGAGGGGGTGGCAGTGCGTCCTGGGGGTGCGGGAGGAGCGAGGCCCCCACCTTGCTCATGCCCCTGAGCTCCTCCTCCTGCTCGGCCTGCAGCTGGCTGGCTCTCTGCAGCAGGTCCTGGGCCCTCTCCTTGGCTGCCTCCTCCAGGTCGCTGAGCTTCCTGTTGGTTCTCCACACCATCTCCTTGTGCTTCATGATCTTCTTACGTGTGGCCACTGCGTCCTACAGGACGCGGTCTGGATCAGTGGGGGGATTGCCCTGGGTGCTGGCCCTGCTACCACGGGTGACCCAGTGTGACCCCTGGGATGGCTTCACCCCGTCATGCCCTCGGAACCCAGAAGTTTCTCCGCCTGGCTTCCTGCTCGCCCCGCCCCCGCCCCCAGCAGCGTCCACACCTGGCGTGCGCTCTAGGGTCTCCAGGAAGCACACGTGGGCGCCTCCTGCCAAGGCCCCCTGACCAGAGCTCCCCGCTCCCATCGGCAGAGATCGGGGCTCGGGGAGGGCAGCTACCATGATGGCCTCCTTCTCCTTCTGGAAGGCCTGCTCCCTGGCCTCCAGCTCTTCTCTGCTCAGGACGTGGGACGCCCACCTGATGCGCTCAAAGTCCTCAGGGCTCATGATGAGGGACTCCCCCGAGGGATCCTTGGCGGGAACACTGACGCAGGGGATGAGCAGTCAGTGGGGAGGAGGGGGTAGCTCTCAGCACCGCTCCGCCCTCCCCTCCTCCCTCACCATTGCCAGCGTCCCCCAGTGCCACCCCCCCCATGGGCCCCCTGGGGAGAAGGGGTCCCAGGCAAGGGACGGGCCAAACAGAGACGTTTTAAGGACTTTTGCTAAGAGGTCTGGTGCGTACGTTGCCCTGTCTGTGCAGCCACGAGCCCCTGCGCCATGTGCACAGACGCGCATCCCCGCACCGGGCTGGGAGCTGACCTCCTGGGAGCCCACGCGTGCGGCTCCCGCTGCCTGTGCCGTGGCCCCACGGGTGCAGCCTGTGTGCTGGGCCACACGCTCCTCCAGGACTCAGACTCTGCTGACCGCACGCCTGGCGGCCCAGGCCGCGGCACAGAGCTGGGCCCAGAGGCAGAGCTCAAAACGACGCCGGCGACCTGAACTCCAAAAATAGCTTATTCCTCGAGGACGACTTAAAAAGGGCGAGGGGACGCTGGACAAGGTCGAAACGGATGCTGTGAGAAACCTAAGCATCCCTGTCCATCCGGCCCAGAGAGAAGCTTTGAACCCTAAATATTAATTAAAATCTCTGATCAACAACAGTTGGAGGCATGTCTGTGGCCCTCTCCTCCTAGCCGCCCAGCACATTCAACAAACCAATAGTTAATTATAATGATTACAAACAAATGACATACATAGAGGATGCAGGCGGGAACAGCAGGGGCCAGGACTAAAGCTGCTTCTGGGTGAGGCCATTTAACAGGGACACGGCAGCGAGACGCAGCCGGCCTGAGGCAGGAAGTGAACCTCATCCCATAAAACTTGTGTGCACACGCGTGCGTGTGTATGTGTGTGAGTGTGTGAGCACGCGTGTGAGTATAAGTGCGTGCGTGTGTATGTGTGTGCACGTGTGTGTGCACGTGTGTGTGCGCGTGCGTGTGTATGTGCGTGTCTGTGTATGCAAGTGTGTGAATCTGCCTGCGTGTATGTGCATGTGTGAGCACGTGACTATATGTGTACACATGTGTGAGCAAGTGTGAGTGTATGTGTGCAAGTGTGCATGTATGTGAGCGTGCTCAAGTGTGTGTACTGTGCGTGCACGTGTGTGCATGCATATGTGAGAGTATGGGTGTGAGTATATGTGAGTGTTCACATGTGTGTGAATATGTGCATGTGTGTGCATGTGTGAGCATATGTGTGTGGGTGTGTGCACACGCACGTGTGCATTGTGTAGGTATATGTGACCATGTGTACACAAGTGTGTGTGTGTATATGTGTGCACGCATTGTGTGTGTGCGTGCAGGCCTGTGTGCACGTGTGTGCACATGTGTGCATGTGGCAGGTGCGTGTGTGTTGCAGGTGTGGGTGTGTTTGTGCACATGTGTGTTGGGGAGGGCCCAGGAGGAGGCCCGAATGGTGTATATGTGTGCAAGCATTGTGTGTATGTATGTGCATGTGTGTGCACGTGTGTGCATGTGGCAGGTGCGCGTGCGTGTGTGTGCGGGTGTGTGTGTGTGTGTGTGTGTGCGTGCGCACGTGCCCATGTGTGTGTTGGGGAGGGTCCGGGAGGAGGCCCGAATGAGTGATGGATCCGGGACGTGGCCTGGGACCTGAAGGACCAGAAACGGTCGCATCTGAGACGGCATCCCGGCCGGCAGGACTAGACCCCTCCAGGGAGGAACGCTGCCTTGGGCCCCACCAGCAGCTGCGGCTCTGCTGACCATAAAGGGCCATCTGACGCCAGGGGCTGAGCCGACCGTGCTCGCAGAGCCGTGTCGCAGCCGGGCTTCCCCAGCTCCCGACGCGGGCGGCGCAGCCGGGAGCTCCAGTTCTCCGAGGTGCGGCCAGAGTTGGGAGAACGGTCCCGAGGGTGCAGCCGGGCCCCTGAGCGAAAGCTCGGTTCACACTGCCGAGGGGGAGGCCTAACCCCAGGGCGCCCGCCAAGGAGGCGGCTCCAGGCAGGAAGCTGGGCGGGCGTGCGGGGCCGATCCCAGAGGAACTTGGGAATTCCCCTTGGGAATTTCCTCTTCTGGCCTCAGAGCCCGGGAAGAAGCCAGGGGCCTGAGCAGCATCTGGGCAGTTCCCCCTTACTTCAGATTCCTGGTGCGGCCAGAGCAGTAGGGGGGCTCGGCCGGGACCCACCGAGCACGGCCCCTCTGCCAATAGGTCCGTCAGCAGCCAGAGAAAAGGGAAGAGGAAGATGCTGGGGGTCAAGGGTAAAGGCAAGAAGAGATACAAAAAGAAGAGAAAAAGAGAGGCCGAAATGCCGAGGATGGAGAGCTGGGAGGCAAACAGGGGAGACGAGTAGGAAAGAAAGGGGGGCCGGACCAACTTCATGAACCCAGGGAGCCCCCTCTCCCCGCACGGGTCTTCGGCAGAAGGGCAGGCTGGGACAGGAAGGCCGGGCACCGCGCCCTGGGCACTCACATGAGTTTCCGGACCATGTCCCGGGTGACGACCTGGATGGTCTCCGGCTTGTGGTCCAAGCTCAGGGCAGCGAGAGTCTTCCGAATGGCGTGCTTATCTCGGAGCAGCACGGTAGGACTGTTGTCCTGGGTCAGAGGCTACGGGGTCAGGAAGGACGGCTTAGAAGCTGGTCAGCCCACACCTGCCAGTCAATCCTAACTTCTCCAAGGGTAGCCTTCCCCTCTTTCTTCCACCCCAGCCGGTGGCAGAGAAGGCTGGCCGGCACCCGGTGCTGTGGGGACCGCCGAGAGTTGCTGGGGCACTGAGAAAACAGTGTGGTGTTCTGCACTTGAACCTGGCTGCATGTGTTCTGTACTGACCAGCTTCTCTGAGAACAAGCCCCCCCAACCCTCCGTGTCTCGTGCAGACACTCCTGGGTGGATGGGGAGGGGAGTGCCTAGTATGTGTCCATTCCCAACCCCAAACCATCAGGAATGAAAATCTGGGGTCTCCGGGGTCCTCTCCCTCCATGAAATATTTACGAAGAGAGAATGGTCCCTCTCGGACACACGGTGGGTTCGAGATAACACACTTTGATACAGACTCATCCAGTCTATGATATTTGGGACTGTTTAATCTTTCATTATGATTAATTTACTTGGACTCCCCCCCCCCAAAAAAATCATATGGAGGGAGTTAGAAACGGCTAAAGGGCCTGGTAGAGACCTGCTCTTACAACTAACGTGGTGAGAAAGTCAGGGAGTCAGAATTAGCAAGAATACATATTAAATGTATGATTTTTTTTTCCAAAATGTTCCAACCGTGAACGAGTCTGATAATAAGAACGCGAAACCACTGGGGCACCTGGGTGCCTCCGTCAGTTAAGTGTCTGACTCTTGAAAATAAAAAAATTAAATTAAATTAAATTAAATTAAAAATTAAAATAAAATAAAATAAAATAAAATGAAAATAAAAAAATAAAATAAATAAAATAAAATAAAACAAAACAAAATAAAATAAAATAAAACAAAATAAAATAAAACAAAATAAAATTAAATTAAAATAAAAAATAAAATAAAATAAAACAAAATAAAATAAAACAAAATAAAAATAAAATAAAATAAAATAAAACAAAACAAAACAAAACAAAATAAAATAAAACAAAACAAAACAAAATAAAATAAAATAAAATAAAATAAAATAAAATAAAATAAAACAAAATAAAATAGGGGCACCTGGGTGGGTGACTCAGTCGGTTAAGCGTCTGACTTTAGCTCAGGTCATGATCTCACGGTTTGTGGGTTCAAGCCCCGTGTGGGGCTCTGTGCTGACAGCTCGGAGCCTGGAGCCTGCTTCGGATTCTGTGTCTCCCCCTCTCTCTGCCCCTCCCCTGCTCACACTCTGTGTCTGTCTGTCTCTCAATAACAAATAAGCATTAAAAACAATTTTTTTAGTAAAATAAAATAAAGTAAAATAAAATAAAAGCACTTATTTCAGGAAAATTTTGAGCACAGGAGAGAATTTCACTTGTCCCAAATGCAGTAACTGTGATCCCAAGTGGAGGCAGGGGGATGGCCTCAGTGGAGGTCCTCCTGGTCCTGAGCTCACTTTGCAGGGACGTCCCCGGGGTGCTGCTGCCCCCTGCTGCCCATTTGCCGCCAAGAGGGCGCAACTCAGGCGCGCCGCGGGCCGCGTCTGCCCCCTACTGCCGGCTCAGAGACTTCTGACCACCGCCCCCCACTCCCCCCCCCCCCTCGGAAGAGGCCAAAGAAATGGGCCAGGAACGGGCATTTTTCCCACTGCCCCTCCCGCTAGCCAGCTGGACGACTCCTGGAGAAGGCGGCCCTTTCCAAACCTATCTTCGCTGCAACTAGGAAACCCCCCGAGGGCCCCAAACAAGAGCTGCCTGCAAGTGACAGTGAGCTCCTCCGATTTTCCCTTGTCCGTGGGAAACTGCTGCAGGTGGGGGTCTCCTAATGGAGGGAGATGGCCGCCTTGAACCCTCTGGAAAGCCCTTTGCGGTTCACGGTGAGAATAGCAAGCGCGGACCCTCCCCACCCCACCGCTCCCCCCACCTGCCTGCCGCCCAGGTGTTCACAGCTGGTCTTTTCTCGGTCTCTCCGTCTCTCTCCCCTGGCCTCCCTTCTTCCTTCTTTCCTGCTGCACGTCCCCAGTACCAAGAATATCTCGAGGCCGCTCTAGCTAGCTCTCCCTCTCGGCACCTTCTCTCCTTCGCTTCGTGTGGGCGACATCGGCACACGAAGACCTGCTCGGGGGTTTCCCAAAGCTCAGTAACCCTGCTGGCTGAGCCCCCGGGGTGGGGGTGGGGGCTGGGTTTCTCGCTGACGCTGTTCTTGGATGGAGGGGAAACACCTTACTCCCTCCCCATCTGCAAACTCGACCTTGACCCTCAGACGTCTCCATCCTGGGGCACTGACTGGGCGGCCATCTGCTCTCGGCAACAGAACCCCCTCGACGTTACACCAGATTTTACACGCCGGGCGGACGTGAGGCTGGCAGGGGCGGGGGAAGCCACGTGCCGCTGTTCCCAGGGGCTGCTCGGGTCTTCCTCGGGGGGCCACCTGGAAGGGGCTGGGCGAGGGTTACCTTGACACCTCCGAAGAGGCTCTCGTCCACCTCGGAGCTCACGGCTTTGGTCCGATAGCGAGTTTTATTCCTCGACCTGTTGGAAGAGGAACTCAGGATGCCAGCGGCGCTCAGCGGCTGCAGGGAGAGGCAGAAAGTTGGGCCCGTCAGCACCCAGCGCCGTCTGCACCCTGGGCAAGGTAAACCCTCCGGCAGCCCGTAGTGGTGGAAAACCACTGAGGGAAAGCAGCCGGGACACCCTGAGACGTAGGAGACACCCCACAGAAGCGGGGGATCCTCTGGGTAGGAGCCGGGTGAGAAGGCCTGAAGGAGGCCAGGTCCCCGTGTGGCACCGAAGCAGGGAGGAGGAACATGGGGATGGAAGGAGGAGGACGTCATTGTCGTCCCGGTCCCAGTTTCCCACAAGGACACTCTCTCGTGAGGCCACTTGGGCTGCCTCCCCAGAAACGCAGCGTCCTCTCCACCGCCCAGCCTCTCAGCCTGAGCTCGGAGCCCCCTTGGCAACTAACACGGCTCTCTGCCCTCCTCCATGTCTCCACCAGCTCACGAGGTTCCGGGGGGGGGGGGACCAGAGGACACCGAGGATGGAAAGGCACCTGGCCCACGGCTTGGCGCGCGGTGGGTGCCCCGTAAACTCCAGTGGATCAAAGGCTCCTCTACAATCAGGCAAACTGCTTGATGGTGTTCACACTGTGGCTTTCACTCCTGGGACCCCTAAAGCTTAACCACCCAGTATCTCCCACTATTTGGAGAAGTCTTCATCTAATGAGTTGTGAGAGCTAAGGCCCATCTCCTCCAACTATAGATGCTAAAAACACCAGATACACATGCGCCTTCTGAGCCTGGGCAGAGGGCCTCGGCTTCACCGATCGGATCCCCTGAGCCGGAGAACGGAGGGGAGCTGGCGGCCCAGAGAGATGCTGGCGAAGGCAGCAGCAGCAGCTGCGCCCAGCGCCTGGGGCCCTGCTGATAAGGACGCCCACAGCAGCACCCACCACGCTCCCCGTGCGTCAAGGGTCCTTGCCAGGCCAGGTCCGGGTTGTGATTTTGGCCCCGGTTCCGGCTGCAGCATCTCCCTTTGTCGCCGTTTTCCAAGCATACTTTCCCAGCCGGGAGCTCTCCCAAATCCCCTCAGTATATGCCCTTGTACTCAAAGTAGAGTTCTGGCCCTTGGCCTGCAACCCACGAGACTGGCTCAGACACCCTCCGCGCCCAAGGCTCAGCGAGGCTTCAGCTCTGCCCGGAGGGAAGTCTGTCCCCAGGAGGCGGTTTCTGTGAGAACTGTGGGGCGACTCCAGGCTTCATCTAAAGCTGATCCAAATCCCCCTTTGGAGGAGCCACACGGTCCCACAGTTCTCTAAGCTGGGCCGTCTCGGGGGCACGAGCTACCCACTTTGGGTCTCCCGAACCTGGGAATCGGCAGCCGTCCAGGGAAACGGACTCTGTCGTTCAAGGTCACCAGACCCTGGAGAGTGTGTTCTAAAAGCTCTCTCCGACCTGCCCTGACCAAAAAGACAGCCCTGGGCACCTGTTCCACCGGGATCAGGCTTTCACACCAAATCGGGAGATTATTCTCCAGCTGAGCGCACCGCCTGGCTTCCAGTGGGAGCCTCCCTTTACAGCCTCAGGCAGCCCCGGGGACAGCAGAGCAGGCAAGCTTGGATTTATTAAAAGGCAAATATAGCAGGCCCCGAGGATGCCTAGTAACAGAGTCTGAAGGGTTATTATATGGTAAGTGGTGAGCAATGGCTCCCCTTTCCACCAAAAATAGAATAAGAAGAAATGAATAGAAGCTACAAAAGGGAGGAGGAGGGAACGCATTGGGAGACCTGGAAAAGGTGGAAGGCGTTGGCTCAGCAGGGATGGCGAGAGCTCTGGGTATAATTAAGGGGAACGGTGTGGGGCCTGGCACACAGTAGACGCTTAGGATGCATTTGATGAAGAATGAATGAATAAAACCCGGCCAGGTGACCTCCACGAGGCCCAGAACACGCCTGGCTCCGGGTCACTACACCGCTCCGCGTTTTCCGAATCACCGTGGAAACGAATGTATGTGAGAGGGCTTGGAATACAGATGGGAAGTATGATTATTGTTTTGCATTTGTTTTCCCGGTTCTTTTCAAGGGCTCCTGCAGGTTTTCTTCTTCCCTCAGGTGTCCACGAGACTACAGGTTCCTCCAGGGCTGAGGTCCAATCCCCTCTTTCCTGCGCCCTTGGGACCCGGGTCCAGAGGAAGTCACTCAAGAGACACGAGAGCCTGCCTGAGCCTAGAAGGCAGATGAGAGGAAGGAAAAGAGATGACCACAGGAAAGTGGCCCCTGGGCAGGGCAGAGGGAAGCACTGAGCTCTCTAGGGTTGGGTGGCTGAGAAACCTCACGGGGGAAATGCTGACTTTGAAGCCACAAGCCACGCACCATGGTTAGCACAGCCAGTTTCGCCAAGAGTTACAAGGACTAGGGAGGTCACCGTGTAAAAGCACTAGGAAAAATGAAGAACCAAGCAGAAATGGAAAGTTAGATCCCTCTAGGCCAGAGACGGTAGCCAAAAGGTTCTTTCAGGAAGTGAAGGGCTGGTTTTATTTCTTGCATGACCAAATAAATATCCCCAAGAAGCTGAGCGGAGCCCGCGGGGGGGAGGCGGCTTCCGAAGGAAGGGAAGGAAGAGAGACCGTTAAAACTGGCTATAGCTGGGGAGGCAAGAGCGACTGGGAGGATCGGGGACCGATAAAAATGCCAGCCCCGCTTTGATATTTTCATCTTGCTGACCTAGCTGACTCTCTCTCTCTCTCTCTCTTCAAATACCATCCCACCCCAGGACCACAGGAATTTGGCCTCTGCTAGGAATCTGGGGAGACTCTGATGCAGAAAGATTAGCTGGTCAGTCGGATGGCTTTCACTTTGTCATCGATACAGGACAATCTCCATAATACACCAACTTTTGCGGAAAGCAGGTTATAAGAAACGTGCAAGTTATTCCTGCGGAAATGTGTGTTTGGAGGGCACACGCCCAGAATGCGTATCCACAAAAATGTTGGGCAGAAACTTGGGGTGACCATTAGTATCTTAAGACGGTTCTTGTAGTGGATAGTTTTCTGCCGTGGAGCAGGTAACTATTTTTATAGATAACACACTGTATTTATTTGAGAACAAAACAGGGCTGGGGGCCTGATGCTCTGACTCTGAACACAGAAAAGTGACGCCCTTAAAAACTTCAGATCTGGTACGTTCAGCTCAAATCCAGCAAGACAGCTGAAGCATGGATGACGCGGACAGCTGTGGACTTTCTCTGTCCTGTTACACCTGTCAGCTGAACAAAGACCTTTCACGCCCTCTCCTGGACGTGCTCTCCACCCCGGGCTCCAGTCCCTTTTTTCATACAGGTTCGCACCACAGGCCGGCAAATGCAGACTTCCAGCTCTTGGCCCGATTTTTTTCCCCTTCTGTGGCCTTTGGTGGCCAAGAAGGTGGGGATGTCCACGCACCAGGCACCTGCCTTTTGCTGAGTGATCCACTCAGGCCACCTCTTTCGCCAGCCGGGACACAAGGTTGGCCATCTGTACTGAGGTCCCAACCCTCCTTCTGAAGGGTGTTGCTGTTTATTGTTTTTGCAAGAGTCCTGGAAACCTGCCTAAGTGTGACCCCTGCCTTCCTGCGGCCATCAGCACCCCTCCCAACCTCCCCACTCCTCCAAACACTCTCCAACGCTAGTGAGCAGCACCATACACGCGCGCGAGCACACACACACACACACACACACACACACACAAGGCCTGCCGAAAGAGCAGAGATCACTCACTTGACCCACTACTTCTCAAAGATGCCCACATGCCCAGTCCTGTCCAAGGGAGTTTAGCAGGCCAACCCTGACCCTGAGTGGCCCTTAGGTGAGGAATCCCTCATCTGAATCCTCTAAAGACGACAATTCTGGGGCACCTGGGGGGCTCAGTCGGTTAAGCATCCAACTCTTGATTTCGGTTCAGGTCATGATCTCCTGGTTCCTGAGTCCCAGCCCTGAATCAGGCTCTGTGCTGACAGTGCGGAGCCTGCTTGGGATTCTCTGTCTCCCTCTCTCTCTCTCCCTCTCTCCCAAAAATAAATACATAAACAGTAAAAAAATTTTTGGGGGGTGCCTGGGTGGCTCAGTCTGTTGGGTGTCCGACTTCGGCTCAGGTCGTGATCTCGCGGTCCGTGAGTTCGAGCCCCGCGTTGGGCTCTGTGCTGACAGCTCGGAGCCTGGAGCCTGCTTCGGATTCTGTGTCTCCCTCTCTCTCTCTGCCCCTCCCCTGCTCATGCTCTGTCTCTCTCTGTCTCTCAAAACTAGATAAATATTAAAAAAAAGAAAAAAGAAAAAAGTGATAAATGAAAGGGGATCCCCCACTACAATACCCCAGGGAATCCTCAGATATGGGGAGCTGGTCTTTGTTGGAGACTTGTTTTATAATTAACAAACCTCTTCTGAAATTCCTACTTGGGGACGCTGCATTTGAACCACCGAGCCCTAGAAAAGCAAGGGGACCTATGGGCATGAAATGTGTCTACGATACACCCAGGGCAGCTGGTGTGCCCCAGAAATTCTAAGGTTATTTCCCACACCCAACCAAGGCTCCACCGCCTGTCCTCTGTCCCTTGCCCTTATCCCTCAAGGACCAACACAGTCCTTGCCGGAACCCAGACACCCCTTCACGGCTCCTCCCAGGCCTGGTGCACCTGTCAACCTTCAGGACTCTGTGATCCTTCCCACCTTCAGGACTCCGTGATCCTTCCCACCCCGGGGAACCCCCAGGCCTGCCACAGCAGACCCAGTCCCTCTCCAGGGCTTTTCAAACCTTTCATTCACAAATGTTTGTTGAGTACCTGCTGAGTGAACCAAGGCCCCCCCCCCACCCCGCTATCCGCTATCCGAAGAGAGAAAACTGAGGCTCGGGGGCCCTAGGTGACTTGTGCATTGTCACTCTGTTAATCGGTGGCCCAACTGGTGCTATCACCCGTCACGTGGCCTCCTCACCAGTGGTTTTCCCACATCACGGTCCACAGGCCCCAGCCAGTGGGGGTCCTAGCCTGAGGGACAGGGACGAGAACATCCCTTTCTCCGCAGCTCCCCCGCTCAGCACCACCCCACGCTTTCAATCCCTAGCGACCCCACCCATCATTCCTCCTTTGGAGCCCCCTCAGGACTTCCCTTGTTTCTTCTAGCCTCGCTCCTGGGCCTTCCTGACCCCAGACCTCGGCACCACTTCTGCGCTCCCCAGCCCTCCGCTCTCCCCGCTCGGAACCCCAACCCAGTTCAGGACACCTGAGGCCCCCCTCCTTGGTTCTCCCGGGACCTCACCATCTCAGCCGCAGGCTCTGGCTGCGCGCCTCCGCCGCCTCCAAAGCCCACACCGCCACCAGGGCGCTGGATGTTGATGCGTTACCATAGCAACAAGAGCGCGCGGGCTCCGGCCCCGCCCCCGGCCCCGGCCCCGCCCCTCGGCTCCCGCGGACGCACCCGGCGTCGGGCGCGGTCTGGGGACCCGAACCCCTGCCCCGGGTGGGAACCGTGACCCGCAAAGGCTGAGCCGCGCGGGCGCCCCCGGCTCTCCTCTCCGGCTCTGGCTGGACCGTAGGGTCGGAACCCGAACCCTCAGGGGCCTGGCATAGGCCCAGGACGTCTAGCAAACGGCCCTCCTGCAAGAGCCAGGCCCCGGGACACCCCCTGGGTTACCATAGTTACCGTTGCGCCGGTGCCACTGAGGTGCCCGCCAACCGTGAATCAGAAGAAACAAGTTTCACAACAGGAGAGAGTCTGGTTAGACCACAGAAGACTTCCCGCCCTGAGGATGTGTGTGTCATTTCAGGAGCAGTTCCTTGAAGTGTGGGGCCTCTGACCTCCAGCTCGGAGACCGGGGAGTTTATTCAAAAAAAAAAAAAAAAAACGCATGCCCTATCGACTGTCTGAATGGAAATCTACGGAACCGGCTTTGGGAAACCTGCCTTTTAACCGCTTCCCAGTTTGTGCATGGACTGTTCTAGAAGTGTTTTTAGAAGTTTGATGATTTTCCCAGTCTGGTTCGGCCTCTTATACCTCCCCAACCTGCAGGGACGAAACTGAACTGACCCGGGCAGTCTGTGTGCCCCAAGCCTCACAAAGCCTCTGCACCGTCCAAGTACGTTTTCTCCCCCAGGCCCGGTGAGCAGAACGGGGGCCGAAGCGCCATGATGACTCTGTGACCCTGTGAGCCGCTCTCCCCCTCGCAAACCTCTCCCCGGTCCCTGGCAGCCTGCCGGTCCGAAGCTCACCGCCACTTGACTTCTGTGCTGCAAAGCCACAGGGTGCATTCGAGACACTCTCTGGGCTGAAGGGTTGTCTGCAGGGGCACGAGCGCTGTTCACAGCCCCCCGGGGAAGGCAGGAAGGGAGCTGGGGTCACCTCTAGTTGTTCTTAAAAGGACCTACTCCAGCAGGCTCCACATTCTTTCTCTGGAGTTCCCAGCCTTGTCTCCTTTGGGATCCTCAGAAGAACAAGGGGGGTGGGGGGGGGGGCGGTGGCCACAGCCTTGGAGGTGGGATCAGGGTGGGGGTGATCCAAGCTAGCATACCCCGCAGGCCCGAAAGGGGGAGCACGACCCTGCCCGCAGTCAAGTGGGGGAAGGACTTTTCCAGGCACCTCTCCTCTCCCAGCCTCTTCCCAGCAGCCCCAGGAGGAGCCACGACAAAGCAGCCTGCTGACTGCTGGCTGATGCTTCCCGTAAGCCCACCGAACCCTCATCCCTGGGGAGTAATTATCCGCATCGCCAAAGAGGAGACTGAGGCCAAGAGAGATCACTGTCCAAACTCACAAGTCTGTGTTCTCTTCTCAACCCAGGCCGCCTCTCTGAAGGAAAGGTGTCAAGTCAAGGCAGGAAGGACAGGGTGACAGTGTAGTGTCAGCGAATCCCCTGCCAGGCTTTCTCTGAATATACCCCAAAGCTCTCAGTGCTTAAGTTTCAGGACTTCCCTCAGCAGGAGCCCTTGCAAGACTCACATCAGGGCTCGCAGCCATGTGTCTCCTTGGCCGTGTGTTTTGTAGATTTTTGGATTTCTGTGAAACCTGTGTGTGTGGTTCTCCATCAGCTGCAATAGTGAAGTTGTTGCCTACCGTCCTGCTGGCGGAATGGGTGCCTGGAACATTCCCTCTGCCGGCCTGCCACGCCACCTCACCTCACGCCAGGACCCGGAAAGTGCCAGCCGTATTCTCGGTGGGAATAGGTGCTGTGGCACCCAACACCAAAAGTACGTGCAAAGCGGAAGAAAAACAAGGGTTGACATTGTTTCAAAAGCCAGAAGCCAGTCTGTGAAAAACTTCCAATACCCCCCATCGTGTGATATTGTAAGTAGAGAGGCCGTTCTTCTCACTGCCTGGCCAAAACGGAAGTTCTCTCTGGCCAGGAAGAGACCCAGTAATGCAGCAAATATAATTATGAACACATCGCATGCCTCACCAGAGAGAAAGCTGCCTCCAGAGGACCTAAACTTGTCGGCTACTTCTGTTTTTCCAACAGTGATAGGGGTTTTCCTTTTTACATTCTTCTCTGAGATCATCTCAAACACATAAGCCCACTTGAACTTTTCTGAGTAGAAGGAAACAGTCTTCCCATTGAAAAACGTTTCAGGCCTTGTGTATTAGTTTTCTACTCCTGCTCTAGCAAACCACCACAAATTTCCTGGCTTAAAATAGCACAAGTATATTATCTTACCGTTGAGGAGTTCTCACTGGCCTAAAACTAAGGTGTCAGCAAAATTGTGTTCCTTACTTACCAAGGCTCTAGAGTGAATCCTTAATCCAGTTTCTGAAGCCCACGATATTCCTCAGCCCGTGGCCCACTTCCTCCATCTTTAAAGCCAATAGCCCTTCGTCTCTGAGCACTCTACATGAGTCACGTTTCCTTCTACTGGGAAAGTGTCTCTGATTTTAAGGACTCCTGTGATTAGATTAGGTTGAGCTCACCAGGATAACCCAAAAGAATCTTCCCATCTCGGGATCCTTAACGGAGCCATATCTGCAAAGTCGTCTTACCGTGCAAGGTAAATATTTAGACGTTTTGGGAATTGAGAGATGTTTGGAGGAGGGGAGGGGCCTACCACACCTTGCCAGGTAACAGTGACCTTTTAAGGATCTGAAACATTTCTTGGGAGAGAAACACAAAATACAAAATACAAAAAAAAAAAAAAAAAAAAAAAAAAAAAAAAAAAAATTACTCAAAAAGTTGTTACAACTTGAACATGCCTTTTTTTTAATATGAAATTTATTGTCAAATTGGTTTCCATACAATTTGCGCTCATCCCAACAGGTGCCCTCCTCAATGCCCCTCACCCCCTTTCCCCTCCCTCCCACCCCCCATCAACCCTCAGTTTATAGTGCCTTTCTGAACTGCATCTTGGAAAGTCTCTTTGAAGATTTAAATAATACAACTGAGATTTAACAGATATGGGCAGATGTCAAGAGTACATCCTCTTCAGGATGCCTGGCAGGCACAGTGGGAACAGCATGTGACTCCTGATCTCAGGGTCGCGAGTTTGAGCCCCACACTGGGCACAGAGCTTACTTAAAAAAATTTTTTTTAATGTTTTAAAGAGAGTACATTCTCTTTCATCAACTTTAAATGTATGTGTTGAAGAACAGAAAATTTACTTTAAAATTAATGAGCTTGAGGCTCCTGGGTGTCTCAGTCGGTTGAGCGTCCAACTTCGGCTCAGGTCATCATCTCGCAGTCTGTGAGTTCGAGCCCCGCGTCGGGCTCTGTGCTGACAGCTCAGAGCCTGGAGCCTGCTTCGGATTCTGGGTCTCCCTCTTTCTCTGCCCCTCCCCTGCTCATGCTCTGTCTCTCTCTGTCAAAAATAAATAAACATTAAAAAAAATTAACGAGTTTATTCTGTACAGAAAAGGAAACGATCAGCAAAATGAAAAGGCAGCCCACTGAATGAGAGAAAATATTTACCAATCACGTAGCTGATAAGGGATTAATATCCAAAGGACACAAAGAACTACAATGTAATTGCAAAAAAAAAAAATCCAATTAAAAAATGGGCAGAAGCTCTGAGTAGACATTTTTCCAAAGAAGACATACACATGGCCAACAGGTACATTAAAAGGGGCTCAACGTCAGTAATCATCAGGGAAATCCAAATCAAAACCACAATGAGATATCACCTCACACCTGTCAGACGGGTCATTATCAAAAAGACAAGAAGTAACAAATGTTGGCAAGGATGCAGAAAAAAGGAAACTCTCGAGTGCTGCTGGTGGGAATGCAAATTGGTGCAGCCACAGTGCAAACGAGTATGGAGGTTCTTCAAAAACTTAAAAATAGAAATACCATATCATCCAGCAATCACTTCTGGGTATTTACCCAAAGGAAACAAAAACACTTAACTCAAAAAGATATATGTACTTCTATGTTCATTGCACCATTATTGGCAATAGCCAAGACATAAAAACAACCTAAGTGTCCACTGATGAATAAATGAATACAAAAAATGTGGTACATAGGGGGCGCCTGGGTGGCTCGGTCAGTTAAGCATCCGACTTTGGCTCAGCTCATGATCTGGTGGTTTGTGAGTTCAGGGCTCACCCACTGGGCTCTGTGCTAACAACACGGAGCCTGGAGTCTGCTTCAGATTCTGTGTCTCCCTCTCTCTCTGCCCCGTCTCTCTCTCTCTCTCTCTCTCTCTCTCTGTCTCTCTCTCTCTCCCTCTCTCTCTCAAAAATAAATAAACATTAAACATTTCTTAACACAACCAAAATAAAATAAAATAAAAATAAACAATAAAATTCTCTCAAAAAAAAGAAAAAGGAAAAGATGTGGTATATATAGACAACAGAATGCTAGTCGACAATAAAAAAAAAAAGAGTGAAATCTTGCCATTTCTGATAATATGGGTGCATCTTCAGGGTATTATGCTAAGTGAAATAAGTCAGACAGGGAAAGACAAATGATATGATCTCACTATTGGGGGAGGTCATCAAAGACCTGACCTCGGTTGACCCATGAGCTGGACCCGGGCAATCCGAGGCTCCTTAGCCCCTCCTCTGTCCTTGGTTTATGGTTCCGCTTGGCTTTCCCCCTCCCAGACGCTGCTCCAAGGACACAGCCTTGAGATAATGATGCGGCCCTGAGAGCATCTGGCCAGTATATGTGACCGAACCCCGTTAAGCCTTCTATATAAACTATTACGATTTGGGGGAAGCGGGGCGGGATCTACTAGTCTGGCTCCCATCCTCGTACGTAAGTTCCCTCACTCTTCAACCTGCCACCTTCCAACCTGCAGTGCTCATTTCTTTCTTTGGTCTCTCTCTGTCCTCCACATACAGGGCCAGTTTGAGATTCCATCCAGGAAGCTCCTGAGAGGGTTGCAGAACAACACTCACTTCTGTGTAGAATCGAAAACAAC